AATTCCACAGTAAACAAGACGTTGGCAAGCTTGCTCTGTTCGTAGGCTCCAGAAGGGTTGTAAGTGGTTGCACTGTTCAAGTCCTCAAAGTTGATGCGGCCCCTACTGTGGGCCAGACTGGATACGTTGATGATCCGACTTGGAGCAGACGCCTTGAGCTTGTCCAACAGCAGGTGAGTCAGAAGAAAATGTCCTGATTGTTGATACAACAGGTAACTCAAAAAAGTGCTAAACCGAAACAGTACATACAAATTTGAATACACTTCACAAATCTATTTCGATCTTTTAATAGAGTTTTGCATGTCAAAATGGTTAAAAAGTGAACTGATTCACCCTCATTGAACAAGTTACAGTCAGCTGAAACATTCCTAGATCATATATATGGCTAATGCTAAACTGGGCCCCGTTCCTCAAAGCAATCGTAGCGCTAAGATGATCGTAACTCCCATACTTTAACATAGACTTACGACTGTTGTAGCGCTACGATCGCTTTGAGGAACGGGGCCCTGCATTTGAAACATACCTAGATGGTTGACACCTAACTGCATCTCAAACCCGTCTTCAGTCAGCAGTTTCGGACATCTCATGATACCAGCATTGTTGATAAGTATGTCCAGACGCTTCTCATCTGAATATATTCATTAAGATTTGTTAGACACATCGCACAGAACAGACAAGCAAATTGCTCATTATATATTACAATTCTTAGCCAGACAATCCAGTAATCATATCATGAGCATCGATCTATGCAATTGGGATACGATGACCACCCAACTCAAAAGTCACCTCTTACAACAGATATGGGTTGCCGAAAACCAATTCTAACACAGATCTTCATGAGGATGGTCATCTTTAGCACTACCAATAGGACCAATAAGACTGACTGAGTGAGTTTGGTTTTACGCCGCTTTTAGCAATATTCCAGCAACATCACGGCAGGGGACACCAAAAATGGGCTTCACACATTGTGCCCATGTGGGGATTCGAACCCGGGTCTTCGGCGTGACGAGCCAACGCTTTAACCATTAGGCTACCCCACCGCTCCAGGACCAATAAGAAAGCAAGGAGATTGTCCCACAGATAATGGTTCATAATGATGAATCTTTAATCTATCACATCAGCAGATCCTGACTCATACAGAAAATGTACACTAAATGATGTTATATGGTTACATGTACAGGATAGAAAAACACTGCCATACTCAAGTAAGTAGAACTTTTGACCACTCGACTGACCACACCCCAGATGTTATAGGACCTGTTTCTCACTTTGATTAACTGCCTTTGCAAATGCCTTGATTGACCCGATCGAAGCAAGGTCCAGCAGCTGACACTTGATGTTACGGTTTGCCGTCTCTACCACGATCTCCGCCCGGGCACGCTCACACTTGTCCAGGTCCCGACACGCCATAATGACACGACTTCCTGCCACCAGAGACACATCTATTACTAGTATATGGTCTCTGCTGCCACGCAAACAGTTTCATTCATAATAAATATATTTTCCAAACATTATCAGAATTACTAAGACAAATACTACTTTAAATAAGTAAAACCATAGAGTTTCATTAACCTTTCAGGATTTAAAAAAATATTGACTGAATTCGTATTTTTAGAGCTGCATTGGTTGCTGAAGACCAATTCTAACCCGGATGTTCACGGGTTATCACATAATCTAACAAATGGTACCATATTTTACTATTTTCGGTATGGCACCAATGATTGAACCACCAACCTTCTGCTCTATTTACTAGACCATGGAGGCGGTCGATATTAAATAATAATATTTGGTTGCTTTCACAATATCTGACACTTTGATCAATACTGGACTGAGTCAGTCAGTATGGTTTCATAACACAGATAACACCATTCTCTTCCCACAGAGGTTACTTGTCATATCTTCCTACGAACCTCTGTTCTAATACAGCCATATTTCCCGGTTCTCGTAAAATCCCCTAGCGGCAAAGGATCGCAACACGAATTATCTCCCTTCTTTCTATCCAATCAGAACACGTGTTACATCGACTTAGATTCAACTTGACTAACACAAGCAAAGGTGGGGCCACAAATATCCCCCATCTGCCGGGGACTTGTGTTGATGTTACACACAAGACGTTTAATGGCTAGCTTGTCCGTTGTCAACGACGGCGATAAACACGCCACTGATCCGCCATAACATGACTGAGTTCTGTCTAGAAGAAACGTTTTCGCATCGCACAGGGGAAGAAGTTTAGTTTTCTCGAAGCATACGGAAATTACCGAGGCCTCGCGAATCATCACTTTTGAAACAACGTCGCTGATTGATTGCACAACTAAATCTGTTTGCCTCCAATCACGAGTCTTGAACGCTCACACCATGAAAGGGCCGTATTAGAACAGAGGTTACGTAGGAAGATATGACAGGAGTAACCTCTGTGGGAAGAGAATGAGATAACACTGAAACATGAGTTTTTCAGTTTGGAATGAGCTGTTCACATGTCATAACAATACCTGACCATTGTATAAACAAACAACTATCAACTATCCAACACTTATATTACCTCCATCCTGAGCAGTGTAACATACCTCTCTTGGCCAGGTCCCTTGCCACTTCTTTCCCGATGCCAGTGTTGGCTCCAGTGATGACGACAGTCCGCCCAGCCAACCTCTCTTCCCCGGTGTACTTCCCTCCCCCCATGTAGTCCCTGTATACAGAACATCTTTGTATACAGAACACCATTGTATACACAACATCATTGTATACATAACACCATTGTATACAGAACACCATTGTATTCAGAACACCATTGTATACAGAACATCATTGTATACAGACCATCATTGTATACAGAACACCATTGTGTACAGAACACCATTGTATATAGAACACCATTGTGTACAGAACACCATTGTGTACAGAACACCATTGTATATAGAACACCATTGTATACAGAACACCATTGTATACAGAACACCATTGTATACAGAACACCATTGTATACAGAACACCATTGTCTACAGAACACCATTGTGTACAGAACATCATTGTGTACAGAACACCATTGTCTACAGAACACCATTGTCTACAGAACATCATTGTCTACAGAACACCATTGTCTACAGAACATCATTGTCTACAGAACACCATTGTCTACAGAACACCATTGTATACAGAACACCATTGTATACAGAACACCATTGTCTACAGAACACCATTGTCTACAGAACATCATTGTGTACAGAACACCATTGTATACAGAACACCATTGTCTACAGAACACCATTGTCTACAGAACACCATTGTCTACAGAACATCATTGTATATAGAACACCATTGTATATAGAACATCATTGTGTACAGAACACCATTGTATATAGAACACCATTGTGTACAGAACATCATTGTATACAGAACACCATTGTCTACAGAACACCATTGTCTACAGAACATCATTGTCTACAGAACATCATTGTATACAGAACACCATTGTATACAGAACATCATTGTATACAGAACACCATTGTATACAGAACATCATTGTGTACAGAACATCATTGTATACAGAACACCATTGTCTACAGAACACCATTGTCTACAGAACACCATTGTCTACAGAACATCATTGTGTACAGAACATCATTGTGTACAGATTGGTGTATATACACCAACTATCCAAGTACGTGTTGGTACATATCAATGTCTCCATCAGGGATAGAAATACACCAATTTACTAGCCTGAATAGTCATAAAATATAGCAATACCCAAAACAAGTTGAAATTCTACCAGCTGTTAAATAAATAAGTCAACAGTAAGACTGCTCAAATCGTCATTATTACTATCGACACGATCTTATTTATTTTGATTCATACAAACTTACATGCAAAACAATTTGCTTATTAGCCAATTAAATGCCATAGAATGTCGAGGAATTCCTTTCAGTGTATTCATATCTATGGGGCAACACAATAATTCAAAGCCTGCATTAACCCATGCCAACTGCATGGCTTCTTCATTAATCTTAAAATAATGACAATTTTACTAGATTCACTATATATACCCTTATATATACTTGCACTCACTTCAACAGATATATTCCTCCCATGAGAGTACCAAGGGCACTTAAAGGTACAGCATACTTCGGCATACTGTAGGACCCCATTGTCTACAAAACAGAACATAACATGATCAGGAGGAAAGTAAAAGTATTTTGCTAATTTCCTCCAGCAATTATGTAACAAGTGATCTATGATTCATCTATAATTACAGTCATAAGAACCAGAGGTTGATATTATGAGCAGTGTGACATTAGTTACAATATTGCAGGTCTGTGTGACGATTGCTATGGGCTTGATTTTCCGTTCATAGTAACTGCATTTGCAGAAAATTAAGGACCACTTTTTCAGGTTCACTGAACATGCTGAATATCATAATATAATAATAATAATTAACATAATAATATTATGATCATAACATAGATTAATTAGAATCTAGTATAAAAAGTAATCTCCTGTTTGAAACATGGTGTAGAACTGGTAACATTATGAAACTGTGAAAATGACCATAATTTCGAGCCATAAAATTCCTCAAGCAAAATGTTAATTTTTTCAGGTAAATTGACGCAATATTGCCAATAATGAAAGATCGCAAGTAGCAAATCATTATTGCGTGGGGTGTACTACACAGTCTGTCATTAGTAACAGGAAATGGGAGGAACCTTTTAGAACGTTACAAAGTTGACTCCCTGACTAACGGACATAACATAAACTTGTGAACTACACTCACTGTCAGATTTTGACCTTTCCTTCAAGCCAATGTGTGACCGACTGAGCAGGGTCATACGCCTTCAGAACCAATCTGAAGACATTAGTCCAGCTGTAATAAGATCATGCCGTTGCATACCACCATTTTATTGCAGCAAACATGAATACCAACAACTAAACACTAAAAAGTATCTTCACCGAAGGTTTTATATACAACACAGCAAGTCAACGTGAGAATTAGTAAATTAGAGTTACCTCCCCCTTTTTCTACACGAAACGAGTTCCGGACCGGTTGTGCATATCTGGGCGTGCTGATCCATTCATCCTTCATCATGTCGACACCACAGCTGCCATTCCCAGACCCAGAGAAGATTTTTACCTCTTGGTGGCCAATTATCATCGGTGTTGCTGTCGGAATATTTTATGCAGCAAGGTAATGTTCGAATATAGACGAAACTGATGAACCATTGTTCTAATTTCGATCGCAAGCTCTCATGCATTATGCATTTTATCGAGTTGTGAGTTGATTCCAATCATTTCTTTGAAACAGTAAATATTATTTTTAGCTTTTCAGTGAGTTCTGTACCATAACCCGAAAAACAATGAACTCAGAATTATAGGTGAGATTGTACAACTTGAAATAGTGTAAAATACCGTTTGTTCTAATATCAAACGAAGCCACAAGTCCTTATTGCGCAAGGTGCACACACTGTACATTTGCTTATCACTGATAGAAAGTTGCCAGTTTTTTTCATATACATGAAGAAACCTGTTGTATACATTATGAAACGACTTACATTATCATGTTTATGTAATGCAGTCATGTAAGGGGTGACTAACGGGATCGGGTGGTCAGGCTCGCTGACTTGGTTGATACATGTCATCAAATCCCATTTGCGTGGATTGATGCTCATGCTGTTGATCACTGGATTGTCTGGTCTAGACTCGATTATTTACAGACCGTCGCCATATAGCTGGAATATTGCAGATTGCGGCGTAAAACTAAACTCACTCACTCACTAATACAGTAATGGTACTCACTAAGTTGTATCATGACAAAAAGAAAATCATGATTATTTTCCATTACCATTAGGATCATGCTGGTAGCCTAAGGTGTTGAGGGTTCATCACATCACTACACTGTGTTTGTACATCATATACAGTCACTGCCATACATCCAGGCTGCCATCATGACCCACAACTGTTGAAGTTGCAGGTCCTAACTTAGTCCAGCATATAACTAGACGACTTTGCACTATACCAAGGTGTGCTCGACGTCTAGCCGGCTAATTCAAGTTCTTTGACGCACTTCACTAGGCAGAGAGGCACAACAGATTTAGGCATAAACGAGGGTAGAAACTCAACCTATCGACTAATACTTGTGCATGGATTGATAAACTTTCATTCATCTTCAAAACGAAACACTTACCTCCTCTAAAAACGACTCATTTTATTACTTAAATGACCTGAAACATAAAGACCCCACCTACTTTCCACCATTTGTCGGCCATACTATTATGGTAATTAGTGGTTGAATAAAAAGTGGAAACGCATTGAAACGTATTTAGGAACAAATAGAAACTGCTAAAAGTTTGTCCCCCTTCCTCCGACTTCAGAGCGTCATGTAATCACGGTCCGTTTAATACGATTCCTTTTTTTGATACAACTGCTAATTACCATAACCAAAATGGTCGACAAATGGTGGAAAGTTGGTGGGGGGATTTATGTTTCAGGTCATTTAGTAATAAAGTGAATCGATTTTAGTGGAGGTAAGTGTCTCGTTTTGAAGACGATTGTTTGTTTTAGTAATGCATGCACATGCATTAGTCGATAGGTTGAGTCTTTATTCTTGTTTTTGCCTATAACTGTTCCACTCAAATTTCTTGCGGAAAGGTGCGTCAAAGAAAATGCACTCGCCGTATAAACTCGATGTAGGCCATGGCTGGAATACGAGTTTATTCATATGAACTAGTCCTAACTAAACTCTTAATACAAGACAAATCTTATGGATAACAACTTCTTGATTTATTTTACACAGTGTTTCTGGGCTAGTTTCTGACGAAGGGGCAAGAACTAGCCCAGAAACGTTGTGTAAAATAAATCAAGAAGTTGTTATCCATAAGATTTGTCTTGTATTACTACACCAACTTCTAAATGCCTTTGAAGAATTTAAACTCTTTATGCCATCACTTAAAAAAAACTCCAAATTGTTTTGACAAGAAAATTGACACTTAAATACAGTGGTGGGAGCCTGATGGTTAAAGTGTCATCTCATCAAACTGAAGATCTGGGTTCGATTCCCCACATGGGTACGGTGAGTGAAACCTATGTTCGGTGTCCCCTGAGTAAAACCATACTAAATCAGTCAGTCAGTCAGTGACGCATGTCACAGTTTTGTAGATCGTTGCTCATGCAGTGGATCACTAGTTTGTCTGCTCCAGCATGTTATTAACAGACCGCCAACATATAGCTGGAATATTGCTGAGTGTGGCGTTAAACAACAAATAGCAAAATCTCTTGAGTTTGAGCAAGGTGACTACATATCATAGTCCCCGTAGGTTTCAATATTTAGTATGGTTATTGACAGACTTAGTTATTGCAGATTGTGCCTTTATTTGTGTGTGTATGGTGAACTAGAGTTATGTATATTGTTTGCAGACAATGGTTGCGTGGTGCACAGTTTGTGGAGGAAGTCAAACTGGAAGGGAAGGTTGTTATCATCACTGGGGGCAACTCAGGCATCGGCAATGCTGCAGCGTTATATATGGCCAGGAGAGGTAGGTCAACTCAGTATTGTAAGGTCATAAACCTTGTGTTTCTGGAGCAGGTCTAGTGTACAAACACTGTGTCACTTTCCTTATCTGGAGCCACAGTATCTCAGATACAAATATTCTCAATGTTCAGAATTGCGTCCTTGAGCTGTGCCAGGATCTGCTTACAATTTGGTCTCTTAGCACTTTACTGAACTTGAGGGCACTTCTTTCCTAGTGTATTTCGTTCAAGATGGTCAGTGTTGACCATTATTTTATGAAAGTGACCATTGTCTGGCCAATATGTAATTAATGTGTATGGCATAATATTGCAAGTCTGCATTTTGGGTTGAAATAGAAAGATGCTTGACAAGATAGATGACAAGCCTGAGTTCAGATTGACATGAAGTAATATGCAAGATTGTGAATTTTAGACTGTATCATTTTGATCAATTTGTGTTGGTAGAAATATATTGACACCTGTGGTTTTACAATGAGACTAGGTATCCTCTGTAACACAGTGCTATCTGAAAAATACTTGTGTTGTATATTTTAATTGATTTTACGATCGGCTGATACTTACACCTAATTTATCACAGGACTGTAATATCTAGACATTTTATAATTTGCCAATGTGAATCATAATTCACACACACGCCCTAGTGTATGTTGTCTGTCTCATTACACTTCACGGCGAAAACAATGATTCTGTTGAATGCTACGACAAATGAATAAAAACAAAATGCAAATATTAAAATTAAAACAGATTAAAGTTATAGGAACAATGTCAGGCTATTACCTTGTTCGAGGAATGTATTCATCAATATCCACAAAAACAAGTGATATGCCATTCATCTGCAGCTGTTCCAAGTGATGTGTCTTTTAACAGTCTAATATACGAAAAATCCATATATCATTTCAGGTATTTCACATTGGTGTATAGTCTCATTGGTCACCCAAGATAGCACACCTGGCAACTAATTGCATAATGTCCGCCATTCTTTAAAAAAAGTAATTTAGTTAGCCAATAATGAGCAATCAATCAATGTATTGGCGGTTAATCCTTTGAAAGAAGGACGTTGTTTTTACGCAGACACAGACACGACAGAGTGTATTCAGTATAGATTAGTAAATCTACATACATAAACACTACCTTTTGACAAAATAAAGGTAATTAATCAATCAGCGTGTTATCGGTTAATCCTTTGATCAATGTTTATATTGTTGAGTATTTACTCCAGACACAAGAAATGCCAAATGGGAACCTTTGTCGGGTAATCTAAGTGGTGTTACCACTAATTATACCTGTTATAAATTAATTAACTGACCATCAAGTGAATGATGACAAATGACATGTGTAGGTTTATACCATCTAACACGGGTTACAACAAGAGAATATTAATTGTTGCATTGCATGCAATTTTAATTGCATGTGAAAACTTATGGGCCGACACTGCTTTGAGAATACGAACAGAACTTCATTGTTGCATAAGAAATACATATAAACATTTGCTGTGTGCTAAAACTGTATGTACCTAAGTAAATTTTCAGATTCTTCTAGCAATGGTTGTTTAGTTTACGGATTCAAATAAATAAAAAAATTAATATCATACGTAATAGACATCATATTTTTGCATGACATGATGAAACATCGAGGTAAAAAAACCCACAGAAATGGGATCAATTTGGATCAGTCATTATACCATCCAGGCATTAGAAAACCTGAAAAAGCCCACACTGCTTTGATACTTTATTACAATCAGACAAGAACCACCAGGGATATTTTCAAATACCTGCATCTGATGGGCATCCACCCTTGTTAATGTCCCACTGTTTAGGTTGAAAAAATTAACCGTAACCGTGATGAGTGAGGCTGATCATCGTTTTCGCTATCACTAGCGTCTGGCTCGAACAAAAAAGGCCTAGCGACACCAAGCTATTTTGACAGAATCGTCTATGAAAACAAGTTGTAACTCGGAAACTAGGCAAAGCAAGAGACAAAATTAAATGACAGTAGATTGTGAGAACATATAGCTTTCATTTTTCACAACAGTTGCCACGATTTCAGGTTTATACAAACCTGTAAACAAGATAATTTACCCCCTGAAATGTACATGAATTCTGCATCGGCCCTCATTTCTATTCCTCATATGACGTCACAGACACGCGCCACTCTGATTGGTTGAAATTTCGTTCGCGGGTGAGAATTGTGCACTGTTGTCAAAAAAGGTCGATTTAAGTTAAATAAAGATCAAAATGAGTAGTTTTAATGACTGGGTTTCATTTATAACGATGCCAATTAGTGATTTATGTATTTGTACCCCCTAGAGTATATGTGATCTTTAACATAAATCAAGACACATATGCTATGATAAAGGTTTCAACATGTAATGCCTCAACACCTGTGAAGATGATATTCCCATATTAGATCAAAGTGATGGGAAGTTGTAATGTAGCTGGTTTTCCGTGTTGTCTGTGCAGGTGGAAAGGTGATCATCGCCTGTCGGGATGAGGCTCTAGGTCGGGAGGCTGCAGAGGAAATGAAGACGCTCCACAAGCAGGAAGTGACCGTCATGAAGTGTGACCTAGCCTCCTTCAAGTCTATCAGGGAGTTTGTGGAAGCTTTCAAGAAAAGTGAGAGACCATCTCTGTCTAAAGCTTTGTTATCGATCTGTAACCGTTATATGAAAATTATTTCTAATAAGGTTTTTATTATTATACCCTCAAAAGAATTTGTTAACGACAGTTTACTGTAACATTGTTGGGTCTGTATGTAGTAGAACCCATTATAAGCTGGTTCAACCTACATACAGCCCATTGTAAGCTTGTACAACCCACTGTGACCATTGACAACCCATTGTAACCTCATACTACCTGTTGTAACCTTGTGTAACCCACTGTAACCTTGTACAACCCGCTGACAGACCGTTGTAACTCTATACCACCCACTGACACTATTGACAGACCATAGTAACTTTGTACAACCCACTGACAGACCATTGTAACTTTGTACAACCCACTGACAGACCATTTAACTTTGTACAACCCACTGACAGACCATTGTAACTTTGTACAATGCACTGACAGACCCTTGTAATCTTGTACAACCCACGGACAGACCATTGTAACTTTGTACATTGCACTGACAGACCCTCGTAATCTTGTTCAACCCACTGACAGACCATTGTAACTTTGTACAATCCACTGACAGACCATTGTAACTTTGTACAATCCACTGACAGACCATTATAATCTTGTACAACTCACTGACAGACCATTGTAACTTTGTACAATGCACTGACAGACCCTTGTAATCTTGTTCAACCCACTGACAGACCATTGTAACTTTGTACAACCCACTGACAGACCATTGTAACTTTGTACAATCCACTGACAGACCATTGTAATCTTGTACAACCCACTGACAGACCATTGTAACCTTATGCAACATACTGACAGACCATTGTAACTTTGTACAATCCACTGACAGACCATTGTAATCTTGTACAACCCACTGAAAGACCATTGTAACCTTGTACAACCCACTGACAGACCATTGTAACCTTATGCAACATACTATCCATATTACTATTCCATCTTACAGCAGGGCGGTGGGGTAGCCTAGTGGTTAAAGCGTTCGCTCGTCACGCTGAAGACCCGGGTTCGAATCCCCACATGGGTACAATGTGTGAAGCCCATTTCTGGTGTCCCCCGCCGTGATGTTGCTGGAATATTGCTAAAAGCGGTGTAAAAACCATACTCAGTCAGTCAGTCCATCTTACAGCAATATATACAATATTTTGCTAAAATAAAACATTCATGTGTTTATACGATGCTGGTGATAGTAAAACTTGTCGTATGTGGTTCTAATACCGGCAGTGCGTCATTAAATTCTAAATTCACATAGGGAAGTTCTCTTTGCAAATTTAGTCAAAAGTAAATGTGTGTTATTGACATAGAAATGTATTTTACCTTCCTGGCTGTTGACTGCATACCTAGATCATGTAGAATGTTGGGATACATCAGGATACATGTTTGATCCAGTGCCAAGTAATACCTCAGTTAGTTTAACGATTTTGTTTTTTTGCAGAGGAAAAGAAACTGGACATTTTGATCAACAATGCAGGCGTGATGATGAGTCCCCAGTCTCTAACAGAGGAAAAGTTTGATGTGCAATTTGGTGTCAACTACCTAGGTACACATGATTTCTGATGTTTTCTACTTACACTCCTTGTGGGCATTTAGGGGAAGAGGAGGGATGGGATAGCCTAGTGGAGAAGGTGTCACACCTACAGTCAGGGTTGATTCTCCTCAGTGTGTACAGGCTGTTCTGGTGTGAGTTGAACACCACTTTGAACAGTATTCATAGGCGGATCCAGGGGGGTGGGGTGAGTGCACCCCCACCTCCTTGTCCAGAAAGTTTGTTATATGACCATTGAAACTCGGGTGGAAATGCAGTGTGCACACACCCTTTTCTCAATAGTGTGCACCCCCCAACCCCCTTTCTCAAAAAGCTGTATCCGCCCCTGGTACATGTATTCAAGTTACATCACAGGATATCAGCTCAGTATCATGGCAGGGTGGTGGGGTAGACTGGTGGTTAAAGAGTTAAAGCCCTTTTCTGGTGTCCCCACCATGATATTGCTGTAATATTGCTAAAAGCAGCGTAAAACATCCTCACTCACTCACTCAGTATCATGGCATGCCAGCACTATTCATGGGTAGTGGCGCGACGTTTGTACTGCATATGATAGCCTGTTTTATTACAATATACATCTTGATTATCGATCACGTCATCTTGACTGGATGCCACGTTTGTTTTAAAGTGAATGCCAGTGATTGGAGGTGGAATTTGATTGGACATTAGGAAAGAGACATTACTCATAATCGTCAATGGAGGTGTTACAATTGAGCTTTGAAATTTAATTCTTAGATAGAAACTGAACTTTTATACTGAGTTAGCCCCTTTAACTCAGGCATATTACTTGTTTAGGAGATATTGTGCTTATATGTAATGTGTATGCATTACCATATGAGGAGTTGAGACCATAAGAGGTGCACTGAAACATTCCTCTATCATCATAGAGGTTTCATTATCAGCGTTAGGAATGAAATCTAGGGTTAATAGATGAATGCTTTTGGGCACCAAAACATTCCAAGTCCCCACTGATGAAATTCGAACTGTTGACTTTCTGATCAGATGGTCAGACACTTCAACTGTATAAACATCTTTGGTCATATTGACAAGCCATCAGACCTCGGATCTGAAGGTCTGTTGTTCAAATCACTTCACAGGACTCAGAATATTTTATTCCATAGCTGCTACCGAAACCGAAATCATTTCATCGATTCATCTTTCACTTCTTGCTATCTGGATGCAGGTACATTCCTGCTGACAGAGTTACTACTGGACCTCTTGAAGGCATCCGATGCGGGTCGCATCGTCAACACTTCAGCATCTGCGAGTAACCTTGGGGAGATCAACTTTGATGACATCAACATGACAGAAGACTACAGTCCAGGACAGGCGTACGCTCAGAGTAAACTGGCCGTCAACTTGTACACTCTTCACTTGGCACGTCGGCTTAAAGGTAGTTATAAGATTACTTGTTTACACTACATATGGAACTCGCTTAGATAATGATGATAATTATAAAGAGAAGCATATATGTTGTGAATGACCCTCCCTAAAATTTATGTAAAAAAGTAACCCCCCCCACCCCTGCATGTCATGTACAAAATTGCTGACCCACCCCCTTGTACATGTGTACAAAATTGATGACCCCTCCTACCCCCATAGAACAAAATGGGTGACCCCCCTTAAAATATCACACACACACACACACACACACACACACACACACACACACACACACACACACACACACACACACACACACACACACACACACACACACACACCAAATAAGTTATGAACAGTACCTTAAAGGTAATTACAGATTGTATATGTTTACTTGTTCACACTTCGTTTTAGTGAGGGGGCAGTGGGGTAGCCTAGTGGTTAAAGCGTTGGCTCGTCACACCGAAGACCGAGGTTCGAATCCCCACATGGGTACAATGTGTGAAGCCCATTTCTGGTGTCCCCCGCTGTGATGTTGCTGGAATATTGCTAAAAGCGGCATAAAACCAAACTCAGTGAGTCAGTCAGTCGTTTTAGAGAGAAGATTCAGTCACTTGATAAATGTCATCTTTCTTTGTAATGAGCGGAGTTGCTCAAGGAATGTCCCTTGATTCGAAAGGTAACAGTATCTATCTCATAACACCTTTGATATTTGACATAATATGTGTCTTATGGCGTCATGATTATTTTGACTCATATGTAATTTCTTTGATCTGTTTCACTGTTATTTCTTTGTTTAGCATGTTTAGAAAGAGGATACTTAACATCTTTAAATTGCATGGGGTATTAGCAGAAGCTGTGAACAAGTGATACCAGCAGTAATATTTTGTATTTATTCGTATTGTTCTTACAGATGTGTAAAAATTACACAATCAGTCTTGTCTGAAACGGGGCCTTGGGGTAGCCTAGTGGTTAAAACGTTTGCTCATGACGCCAAAGGCCCTGGTTTGATTCCCCACATGCGAACAATTTGTGGTGTCCCCCGCCATGATATTGCCAAAAACTCACGTTTCTGAAACCTTACACCCTCTGCCAATCATTACATTACATGACTTGGGTATTATGTACAACCTCCCTTTCTAAAAAATCTATGATCTGCCTCTGAAGTTCATACCCCTTCATGAGAAGTATTTTTAACATATGTTTTTGTGCTGTGATCATTTTTGTTCATAAAGCATATTATGGAATGTTATCAATATTGCAGACACCAAGGTCATTGTGAATGTGACCAATCCTGGAATTGTCAACACTAATGGACATCGTAATCTCCCCTTCAAGAACAACTCCTTCCTGCGGTTTAGCTTCTCCCCGATTGTGTGGTTCCTCATGAAGACACCATCAGATGGTGCTCAAACAACACTCCTTTTGGCTTGTTCGAAATCTATTGATGGCGTGTCAGGAAAATACTACAAGTAAGTAGTCTATGTCACACTTTGATGAGGCATCTCTCTAAACATTGGACACTGTGTGAAGCCCATTTCTGGTGTCCCTTGCCATGATGTTGCTGGATTATTGCTTGGACATTGTTCTTCTTGACCATTTTGACATGGAATATCTTTGAAAGGTTTTAGATCTCAATGAGTTAGGTGACCTTACAACTGTCATGTGTGAGTAATCTTAATGGCAGTGGAAACGTGTTTGATAAATATTTGTAGCTATTGTCAATGACAAATGAGTGAAAGGCAAGTGGCCAGAAAGTGCTTAGAGTTACCTGCCCCTGGTTGTAAACAAACATGGTAGGTGTGATGGTACAGTTTCTAGAAAACTTATTGTACCTTTATAACAGTGACAGTAGCAATCCCTGTTCCCACTGCCTCTACATTTATCACTATGGATAAAAAACTGAAGGAACAGATGGACATTTTGTCTCACGCGTCACATTTACTAGTGCAGAGTCGTGTCCTTCAGGCATACCAGGATCTATCTTTTTTAAAATCACCAACTGTTTACAATGGAATATCTAACCTTAATTCTGACTACTCGTGATAGATGTCTGTCGATGCCAGATCAAATTTATGGTTCTGAATTCATTGCGATAATTTAACCCAAACTCAAATCTGTCTAATCCAGACTTAAAGGGTGGCCTTGTTTAGTTTTAATAATAAAATGATAATAGAAAACTGTATTCATTGGAAATTTGCCTACAAGAAAAGGGAACATTATATTTTAGCTAACAAAGCAAATTATATGTAATATTGTGACTCGACCTCACTGATTTGTGTTTTTCAGAGACTGCACTTTGAGTGAGCTGACTGGCAGGTCCTTGGATGAAGAGCTGCAAGAGAGGTTACACAAAGAGTCTGTGAAGTGGACGGGTCTTGAGAAGAAGACTAAATAAATACTTGTTTTTATAGTCCAGATACCGAAACATCAAAAGAACATCTTTCACTGAAAGTGGAGTTTATGATAAATTTATTCTTACTGACCGAACAGATAGATAGTTTCAGGAATTGTTCCTGTTACCTGGTAGTGGCATTTACATGTTGGGAAATGTAGAATGATGATTGTGGAACAGAGTCTGGTAACAAGTCCAGAATGAAAACAGAAATTTAGTTCACATAAGCTAGCAATTTCTTGTCAGACCGTAGTGTAGGATGTTTAGTGTTATGATTGCACCTGAGACAGGGTGTCATCTTTGTCGGTTTCACATGGCCTGATCAAGTAATTTTTTCAACAAACATGAAGAAGGTTTGGATTTCTGTTTGAACCTACCAGGATGAAGAAATGGCTGAAAAGATCATTCATTTGAATGAGTGCCATTGCACCAGCATAGCAACGGATCAGTCCATTAATTGTAGAAGGGGCGCGTCAACTGGAATTGGGGAGGGTCACAAAAATTATGACAGACAGTCTCTTGGAATGGTTTCACATTTTTGGGAAGGATCATGAAAAAAAAGGTTCGAGTACATTGGGAAGGTCATCCAAGAATATTTCACACATTAGATGAACAGTATTTTTAATAATTTATCTGACCAAAATAATCTCTGACCTACCCTCCATGTTATAAATGACCGGTCGCAAAGCTGTCATGACAAATGTTATGAAGATTTACAATTTTTCTTCTTCTGTTACTATTTCCATCAGACCGTCCATTTATATATTAAACTCAGGCTATGTGGAACATAAGGGAAAAGATCTTGTCCTCAGAATATTATAGAGAAGACATAAGAAGCCGTTGCTCGTAGTAACAACTTCCATTAGACTCTATAGATCAATATTTATTGTCAGACATGTTCCGTGATGGTTCAAACAAAGCAATAACCTTCCCATAGTTTGTCCTGTAACTGTTGTGATTTCTGTGTGTAAGGTAAATACTTCATTAACGAATTATGTGGATCATAAATGACGGGTGTACATCATGTCCAGAATTGCCAAAAAGTATAATTTTTAAACTTATCCTATCTCACGGTATGCACCTCTCTTCTTCTACGACCAAGCCAAGCGTGTGGATCAGCAGCGGAAAAGTTGCTGTTGCACTGATCACAATGTTTGCGTTTCTTAGAAGATTCGATTTATTTACCATATTGACAATCAAATAATGTCTAACTGAGAGAACAACACATGTCCACTCGGTGTAGCGACAAGAAAGAGAATGACAGGCACAGAGCGTCACGTGATCATCTGAGCGATCTGCACGCTTATTGAGATGATTGACAGGTATTGTTATCGGAGTGGGGGCAGAGGTCAGAGGCCAGGAAGTTTTGATTCAACTTAGCCTACAGCACATTTCCACACTTGGTCGTAGAAGAAGAAGAGAGGTGCGTACCGTGAGATAGGATAAGTATATAAATATACAATTTATAGTAAAATTTCCAATGTTCCATATACAGTGTATCAGTTCTAACTGTTCTGTTTCCAAGAACTCTGCATTCCATGCATCTTGTGTAGAAGTTGTGATCATAGTCTTCTCACATCACTGTTAATTTTTCTTTATATTTTGACATGTATTTTCAAACACTTATACAGAAATGTGATGGTCATGGTAGAGGGATTTGTATGACCTTGAAGGAAGGGCAGTAATTAACTGTCAAATGAATGTCAGTAATATGTATGCTATTGTACAAAGGGATCTTGGCGCTGAAGTGAACGTGACTTCCTTATATAGGCTATTATTATCGTCATAGTTTTTGTACAGTGCCATCCTCATGTAGATATTCTTTCATGGAAGTAAGACACTGCATTTGGGTAGGTTTTTACCGAGATATTTATTCAGAGCATGGTTGTAATCAAATTGGCAGCAGTTCTGAGCCAGATCAACCTGCAGACATTACACTTGCTGCACTTTGTGGTCTTCTGGATATATTGAAAACTTTGGTTAAAACCAGAGGTGTTATCAGAAATGGTTGTGTGCACAAACAGATGCTGTTTGATTTGCAAGTTAAACATTATATAAGAAAACATACAAACACAAAAAAACCCAGAAACCATCTGATTTTTTGTATATGAGCCAGCTTTAATTTTGATAACACTTGATTACCCAGCTTTTTTCCAAGGAAAATTTTGAAACATTTACACGCTATACTTTTGCACCTTTATTCACTCTGCACTTTCATCACTGCACTACTGGATCAGTGAATCTCTTATACGTTCCCTCTGCTAAATGGTTGTGACTGTTGAAACAAATATGGTATTGATTTAGGTGAATGATTTACCCAACCCCTGATGATGTCTTGTTCATTGTTTGAATAATAACAGCTTATCTGTAAACAACTTTAAATGTCACATGATGAGATGGGTCTCATGGAGACGAACCAGTACTGATAATATACTTCTAGTGTACTCGAAAAAACATGTTGTAGATATATATCTTGGTTAATTGTTATGGTATTCAATTGAATCTTTGTATTGCTTTACATGATACCATCAGTATGGTCTTGTGCCAAGATTTATAGGTCATCTCTGATGAGTCATCACTTCCATCAAGAATAGTCTTTATCTAATGCTTGAACAGATTTTCACTATTTCATGTTCTAAAACTATTTCCTTCGGTCTTGAAAATTAATAAAAATATATATGGTAATTTTCATGAATAAATTCTAGTTACATTTCTTGATGAACCCTACCTTTCATGTATTACTTTTAATGCATTTGTGTCTATGACGTGACAATGGCAAGGGGTGATCAATGCACATACTCGGTCTGCAATAGATATCCAGCTATGAGATTGTTGTAATTATGATGACCAGGTGTTAGCTGTTACCTGTGTCATCATTGTCTTTGTCTAGGACAGATAATCATACTTTCAACTACTGGTTGTCAAGGCCAAAATTGTATTATTTACAAGTTGCATTATCTGCATGAATGTTGCTGACAGTTGTGTAAAACAAAACTTACAAAAAACATTGTATCCTGCTTTCGATGGTGAAGATGGCCAAAAACAGGATATTCATTTCAGTCAGTGATCAGTCATCACCGACATGTTAAACCAGCTTCAGTTGACATGTTGAAAGGGTGGCCCTGTGATCTGACGAGCTGTAGTTGTGCGTGTAGATTACAATCATGCCGATGCCAAAATCCTGTGACTGTTGGTTCGGATAATGGTTCCCACTGATTGTTTCTAGGTTCGGCAGCACCATAGCTGTGCAGGCGGGTTTTGCCAAAATGGTAAATGTCTGGGATTTGCATTAATTCAGGCTTTCCTGCCACAGTAAGCCGATGGCTGTGTAAAAACCAACTCGCTCACTTGTTAAAGCATTCCCTACAGTGTATAAGAGGTAGATTAGAGTAGGCCTCATCATATTTGTATAGATAGTTCTGTTTCTAAAACCATTGTTGCATTTTTCAGCATTGATTATGCAATGGCTGTATGCAGATCTGTTGGATGTATTTTGTACAACGCTTACACTTTTTTAATAAACAGCTGTTTTTACTTCCTGCATCTGTTGTTGTCTGTTGACCAGTCCAGATTTCTTTGTTGTTTACGCCACACACAGCAATATTCCAGCTATATGGCAGCGGTCTGTAAATAATCAAGAGTGTCAGTGGACCAGACAATCCAGTGACCAACAGCATGAGCATCTATCTATGCAGCTGGGATACAATGACATGTATCAACCATGTCAGTGAGCCTGACCACCTCATCCTCTTAGTTGCCTCTCAGGACAAGCATCACAGTAACATTACTGCCTGGTAACACATTGATCATTAGACATCATTGATCATCAAAACGTACTTGTGAAAAACATATCCAGGTATGGTAACTACTAGTGTTGGGAATTGGTTAAAATCTCATAATTGATGATTGATTCATTACAACCGATCAATCATCGAAAATAATTGGTTAGCGTCATTTATGAAATTTGTTAATGCACGGAAAAATAAGGGGAAAAACATGTAGTTCTTTGACGTTTTGGGGGCAAAATTTCACATCTTTAAAGGATGACTAGTATGTTAGGAACATAAATTTCTTAGAGTCTTTAAGATAACTTCAATCATGACTTGGAACGAGCTTGTAGTGCTTATGAAATGTAACAGACAAAACCAACCTAGTGAAAAATACTGTTAATGAAAACGTGTTCCAGAATTGTTTGTGTTCGATTATGAGAAAACAGGATCGATTGCTTGGTCGTTTAGTCTGTGCGACCAATCTTCGATTATTTCAATTAATCGGACCACCACTAGTAACTACTGCTATTGAGGTCATAAATAATGACCAACATGTCGCAGGGCTACACCTGACACGGATGCATGGAAGTCAACGAGATTAACCATCCAATGTATTCGTGGTCTCTTCAGATAGACATAGGTAACCATGGTCAGTGGGGACCTTTTCTTATCAGGAATCACATGTCACACTGTGAGTGTAGTGATTTGATCGCTTCACATGATCCTAAGAAAAGTACATGTATCCCACGTGGGAGTGAAATAAGTTTCTGTGAGGAAGAATAAATCACTTGTACCTTGTCACAGAGAAAATAGGCTGCAGATATACTGGCTGGTGAACAGTTATCACCAATACATCAACATCACACCTGCGGAATTCCGGTCAATTACACTTCAGGTATTTTTTTCCATGGTTTTTGACAACAATAAAGGACAGCAAAAGAAAATTCTTCACGGTAAGTAACATAAGAGACAAATTAGAGATAGTTATGAAAACTATAAAAAAAATTGTAACTTAGTTGGGGATGTCACACATTCAAGTAACAAAGATATATAATAGCAAGTTCAAGTTCACAACAGTCATGAATTGCTTCATTTCCAATGAATCTACTGTAAAAGACACATTCAAATAGTCACACAATCAATTATTCGAGATTACTGTATGATATAAATATATATTATTTCACGTATGGCATGAGAAATTCCAAAATGGCGATAACTGTTACAGTTAGTTGTGACAAAACATCTATTTGTACTGCCATGATTCCCTTCTGCTGTGTTCTATAAAAACATGATCGGCGGCAGTGAACGGGCTGGACACATCGGTGAATAGCAAATTAAGTGAGCGAGTGAGGTTAGTTTTACGCTGCACTCGGCAATATTCCAGCTATATGGCGGTCTGTAAATAATCAAGTCTGGACGAGACAATCCAGTGATCAACAGCATGAGCATCGATCTGCACAATAGCTAATTAAGTATCATAATTAATTTTGTTTCATTAATTTAACGAACGGCGGAGTAATTTTGTAAATACCGCTAAAATATGGCGATAACTGTTCGGCAGTCAATATTCCTGAGCAAGACAACATAATCCTATATGGAGAAAAGAAAAGTAGGTGATAGGATAGATAGTGAAAGGTGGGAAGAAGGGTCATATATATTATGTAAAAGTTATTGATAACTTAACATAGTGTTAAAAATAATAACTTCATAATACTTGAAAGTATATATCACGATGAGCTAAATATAACTTCAAGGGAGAATCTTACTTGGTGTATTTGATGCAAGGTGATATTATTCATACTGCTTACCTATATCTCCAACTAAATTCAGCTTTGGTCATAGGCTTGCATGGTTCGATAATATCTTTAAAATGTTTTTAACTGGCTTGTCAAGACAGTTTTTTCGTTTTGACACATTTAGGACAAACCCCTACATGTACTGTCATACGTCCAAAACATGCAAGAGTTTCATAAATGCACATACACATATTTTCTATAACTGTAAAAACAACTTATAAATATCTAGATCGAGCTTACTTCTGTAATTATGTTGATACAACTGTAAAAGCAATACTCGCTATAAGTCGTCCTAGTACAGACCCGTGCAAAAAGTATTCAGACGCTTGACGTAATGTCCATGCATAGACTTACATGTTATTTCAGTGTAGCATAAATAATTTTCATGAAGTGAGTTTAGAATGGATCTTTGTAAAATATGACAGGCAAATTTGAAATCATCTCTGATCTGCGCACATAATTTCAGTTCAATTTTCCGACCACTAATGACATCACATTTATCAACTTACGTATGGTTCCACAACGCAGAACCCCATAGGCCGCCATGTTAAAGGAGTTCACGGCACTGTACACATGTTGATTAAACTGTTGCCACTCGATAAATAAGCAATGGAAAATTAAACAGAAATTATGTGATTGTAGGTAAGATGATTCATCACAAATGTGCAAAATTTGACTTGGATCTTACGAAAATTTAATTCAAGAAAAATATTTATGCTACACTAAATTAACATGTAAGTCTATGGAAATTACGTCGAGAGTACTGCACTTTACCGGGCGCACTTTTTCAGATTTATTAGCGCTTCTGGGGTTCCCTAACCCTAAGGATCGTAAAGGGTGCCTAACTCTAAGGATTGTAAAGGAAGCAGCGAAGGCTGTGCCCGGTAAAGTGCATTCTAGCCGGGGTTTGAATAAAGAGTTGCAATCAAAACAAGCTTTCAACGGAATCAAACAGCGCATCGACTTACTACATAATTCATCAACGTTTACATTTCCCGCCTAACCAGCCCTGCAGCCATGGCGAGCACCGACTCAGCGCGTGTAGGGAAGGAAGAACTGCTGGCCAAGCTGGTGGAGATGGGACTTGACTGTGATACACACGAACACCCTGAGGTACAAGGATAAGTAGAAAGTGAATTTTCTGTCCTTAAACGTACTCTAGTGCACACTCGGTTGTATAGAAGACAAACAGTGCGTGTCTGATGCAACTACCTGCTGACGAGAAAATGCAGTTATGCAACGGATTGTTAAAATGGATATTCCTCATATTCTACAAGCACCATATAGTAGAAAGTGTAAACAGAATAAAAGAACCTGGTTATGCGCTAATGACGAATGCGAACTCTTTCTGTTGAAACACGCTGGAAGGTGTGGTCAACATAAGGGAGATAATTCGATATTACTCGAGTCTATTTGAACAGTACTTTCATGCAGGTTTGTCAACCTTGGTTCAAAACCGCATGAAAACATTTTGATTTTTGAGCCATCTGCACTCCTATTCAATATAGTTACTATTCAGTTTATTTCTTTCACCAGCCTCATTGATACACTTTAGGAGATAATCCCAATTTTGTGCAGTTCAATAGTTATATGGCTGCATAAAATTATATATTCGAAATATATTGTATATTTTTCTTACACACATTTTCTTTGTTTTGTTTTTTTGGAAAGGATAAGGAATTATGAGTATTTTTAGCAATACTTTTACAGAATTATGGGCTCAAACCTCACTACAGAAAAATATCCATGTTTGCTAACTTACAATATTTGCTAAGACATGATGCATTCAGTTTTAAATGACATTTTGTAGTGTTTGATCAACAATGAACCACCTGAAAATGGAAAATAAATGAATAGATTTATCTCCATTTAACCAGGACTGATGCAAGTTAAAAAAGCCTTCCTTCATACATATTCCATTCAGTGATGTGGTCAGTAGTTACAATTCATTAAACTTGAAAAATTAAGTAAAATTAAATTACATCAATGTCATAGTAAAGTGAAAGTTGAACATATATTGTTGGACAAAATATTTCTCTTTGAAACAGATCACTGGTAACTGTCTGTTGGTGATCAGTTTCTCACAAAATGTGCAATGTGTTTAATGTTTGTTGTAGGTATTTACTGTAGAGCAGGCAATTCCTCATGTGGCACATCTAGAGGGAATGTTTGCCAAGAACCTGTTTCTCAGAGACAAGAAAAAGAAACTGTATTTATTCTGTGCCGCTCATGATGCTGACATCAAATTAAATGACTTGGCTAAAGCAGTAAAAGCTCCAGGAGGACTACGGTTCGCGGACGAGAGCATCCTGTCTGACAAGCTTGGACTGCAGCAGGGAAGTGTCACTATATTTGGTCTGATCAATGATAAAGTCAAGGATGTGCAGCTGCTCATGGACTCACGTTTTATAGGGGACACTTACACCAGGCTCTATTTCCATCCAATGACCAATGCAGCAAGCACTGGTATCTCACCTTCAGATCTCAGCAAGTTCCTTGAAGCAGTGGACCACAAGCCTACCCTGGTGGACATTGGTGCCATACAGGCAGCAGACTAGTAGTGGTGGTCCGATTAATTGAAATACATGTAATCGAAGATTGGTCATAGTGACTAAACGACCAAGCAATCGATCATCATGTCTCATAATCGAACACAAACAATTCTGGAACACTTGTTTTCATTAACAATATTTTTCACATGGTTGGTTTTGTCTGTTCAATTTCGTAAGCACTACAAGCTCGTTTCAAGTCATGATTGAATTTATCTTAAAGATTCCAAGAAATTTATGTTCCTAACATACTAGTCATCCTTTAAAGATGTGAAACTTTGCCAAAAAAAACCCAGAAGAACTACATTCCCCCCCCCTTTATTTTAATGTGCATTAACAAATTTCATAAATGACGCTAACCAATTATTTTCGATGATTGATCGGTAGTAATGAACCAATTCCCATCACTACAGACTAGGAGAGTGAGTCACAACTTCATCTTCACTGGTTGTACATCAAAACTCAATGAACTGTTCCACTTTCTAAAAATGACTTCTCCAATATATAAAACCAGCCAAGAACCATTACTTGTTAGTCTATATACATGTATTTGTCTGGGAAGATAGGATGCACTTAATACACAATTCAAACACAAAACTTGCTTCAGTATGTATCACGGTGGCACAGATTCTCAATCTCATTCATCCAATTATCTATAGATTTATGTATCCACCTGTCTCAAATAGTTGCTATGATCATTATGTACTGGTTGAAAATTAATAACCTTGTTGTACCTTTTTTACCTCATTGTAGAAGACCGGACCTGTGTCATAAACAGTTGGCTGACTTGTTCATCAATGGCCAACATGTTCTCAGGTAGCACATGGAAATCCTGTAATTTGATCTGTACATGTCAGCCTGAAAGACTGCCTCAAACTTTGGGACCATGAATGAAGATATTTTTCCATGTATTTACACCAAGACATGATCATGATGTTGGACATGACTTTTGATTTTAATGTTGAATCAGATCAAGAGACTTAAAGCATAATATTCATCAGATCATATATTCCTAATGTGATGTTTGGATACTGTTGAGACTTGTTGCATAGTTCTGTATGATTGGTCAATGATGGTAAGATTCACTCAGAGCAATATCGCTACATATCAGGTCCACTATACATGTCAGCTGAACATTTTGTGATAGTTTAAAAAATATACCTTATACAAATGTGATTATGATATATGGAGAAAACCCTAGAAATATTGCACAATAAATCATAAAAACTTGCATGGTTACGGTTTATTCTGTACAGTTTATGATAATGAAAATATGTACATTTCAAGGGCTTGGTACATAACAAGATGGACAGAAAAGATGACAGAGAGATGATAGCATGCAGCTGTGTACAGATAATTAGATATGTACAAGGTAGATACACAGCAGTCTACATCTTTTAACAAAGTGATGATTACTGATTAGTCAGTCCAAGCAGGTTTGTTCAGCAGGAAGGTGCATGGATCTTGTACGGTTCAGGCTAATCGCTTGTTTCTCTAAACAAGGTAGTCTTGGGATATGGACTGAAGGGTAAATATCTATACTAGGTGTAAACACACAAAATCCTTGGAGAGGAGAGAGCTGGTGAGAAGGTTCCATATGAAAGATTAAGATTATCTCTTCCAAGCGATACAGTCTCAGGAATTGGATTAGCTTATGTAGAATAATCGGTTTTCATCCTGGCAACATGCAAGTAGCATAATGTTTTGCAGCCAATCCCACATGTATACTCACCTACATACTTGTCTATTTACTGTGAATTCTGGAACATGTTTCCATAGTAACACAGGCATGTCAGTTCAGGAACATGTCTCTCCTGTTTCATAAAGAAGTTATAGCCATGGAAATATTGGTATCAGTGTCCTAAAGTAATTTTTCTTTCTGATTTACATATATTCACTTGCATTCTGGAGACAAGTCATTATTGCAGATATAGATAATCCATGTTTAGAGTGTGTGTGTTGTTTCCATGGAGATACATACACAGGTGTTTTAATGTAGTGGCACACCGTTTCCATGATGATACATCCATCTTTGCTGTAGAGCACTAGTACACTTTCCATGAGCATATGTCCATCTTTGTTGTATAGTACAGGTGCACTGTTTCCATGACGATACATCCATCTTTGTTGTAGAGCACTAGTACACTTTCCATGAGCATATGTCCATCAGTGTTGTATAGTACTGGTACACTGTTTCCATGGCGATACATCCATCTTTGTTGTAGAGCACTAGTACACTTTCCATGAGCATATGTCCATCAGTGTCGTCTAGTACTGGTACACTGTTTCCATGATGATACATCCATCTTTGTTGTAGAGTACTAGTACACTTTCCATGAGCATATGTCCATCAGTGTTGTAATAGTACAGTGCACTGTTTCCATGACGATACATCCATCTTTGTTGTAGAGCACTATTACACTTTCCATGAGCATATGTCCAGTGTTGTATAGTACTGGTACACTGTTTCCATGGCGATACATCCATCTTTGTTGTAGAGCACTAGTACACTTTCCATGAGCATATGTCCATCAGTGTTGTATAGTACTGGTACACTGTTTCCATGGCGATACATCCATCTTTGTTGTAGAGCACTAGTACACTTTCCATGAGCATATGTCCATCAGTGTTGCAGAGTACTGGTACACTGTTTCCATGGAGATACATAAGCCTGTTTTGGAATTCTGATTTCAAGAGAGACAAATGTACCTGTGCTCTAGAGTACTTGGTGATAACTGTACCTGTGACTTAATGACTTGTACCTGGAGAGCATATATAGCACGATGTGGCTGCATCAAGGTACATGTCAATACTCAGCCAACTGGTTTTATAATCACTATTTCAAGTTTTCACCCATGTTAGAGGTGATGTTGAGCGCCACCTGGTTGTACTTGGTAACAAGATTTTCCATGAAGTAGTCCTCCAGCTCACACCGAATGGCAGCCAGGTCCGGCAACTCGTCACAGCTGGGGATGTTGAGCAGTCGATGGAACACGCTCTTCCACAGACTAACATTCCACTTCCTGGTGAGAGATGAGACAACAGATTCAAACAGCATCATCAAGCAAGCGATAGAATCAACACCAACATATTGCAACAATTGTAGTCATTAGTTACTAGTCAAGTTTTTAAATGACATTCCAAGACCTACATATGTTAGGCAATAAGATTAGATACATGTTGATATACTCCCACCCACTCACAACACTAGACAACACTGTTATAACCCACCTCTGGAAGCTACTTGTCATGTGCCACACCCCTTGTGATTGGTACACTTTCATGTAGTCACAGAACACCAAGACATGTATTGTACCAATAAGTCCAAACAGGTCCGTCTGAAAAACAACCAACTTTCACAGTCATTTCAAATGGCATTCAAAAGAAACATTTGTTGTTTAACATGATATCCAGCAATATTTCAGCTATATGGTGATACGGTCCAAAGGGACAAAGCAGAGATTGATATTGTAAGCATGATTATGATGTTCATATGATTAAGGTCTCTCGCTTGACCAGCAAAGGTTGTGGGTGACCTTTTCTAACAAGGATGTCCACGGGTAAAATAAGAAACAAGGTGTCTTCTCTGGCATCATTGATCAATTGTCAATATGAAATGAATCAGCCATCTGTAGTGCAGAAATGGATTAATTTAGACAGTAACATTTCGTATCTCACCTAACTTGTTATGGTATAGTTCACACAGTATTTAATCCTGTTTTCAGTTGATTTAACTTGCATATATCTGCTAACATTAATTGGTTTGAGTACACAATTTGAACCACAAAGATTCACAATGTCTGTATCTTCTTTCCATTTGTACAATCAGACTAAGGTATCAGACTAAGGTATCATACTCCTGCAAAATTATGCAGATCGCTATTAGAAAAGAGGAGATGTTGACATAAACCACAACATGAGCCACAGTCAATGAACATGAGGAATATACGAGTAGAATTCTGACCTGATACGTCCAGGGCATGTCTGTCCTCATCTCAATACACCGGAAGCCCTCTGTGGCGCACTTTGCCAGGAAGGTGGTGCCAGGGGGGTATCTTGTCATGTCAATGCTGCGTCCAAAGTCGATCAGCTTCAGGGTTTGTGTAGAGCGGCCGAATACTTCTTCCTTTGTAGTCTCACCATATAGGCAGGGGCTGAAGTAGGCAAGAGACATATCATACACTAAACTATCTCACCATATAGGCAGGGGCTGAAGTAAGCAAGAGACATATCATACACTAAACTGTCTCACCATATAGGCAGGGGCTGAAGTAAGCAAGAGACATATGCCTAAACTAAACTGTCTCACCATATAGGCAGGGGCTGAAGTAAGCAAGAGACATATCATACACTAAACTGTCTCACCATATAGGCAGGGGGCTGAAGTAAGCAAGCAAGAGACATATCATACACTAAACTGTCTCACCATATAGGCAGGGGCTGAAGTAAGCAAGAGACATATCATACACTAAACTGTCTCACCATATAGGCAGGGGCTGAAGTAAGCAAGAGACATATCATACACTAAACTGTCTCACCATATAGGCAGGGGCTGAAGTAAGCAAGAGACATATCATACACTAAACTGTCTCACCATATAGGCAGGGGCTGAAGTAAGCAAGAGACATATCATACACTAAACTGTCTCACCATACAGACCTTGTGTGACTTGTTTGATCCAACACAAGTAAGCAAATGCCTACACTAAACTATCTCACCATATAGGCAGGGGCTGAAGTAAGCAAGAGACATATCATACACTAAACTGTCTCACCATACAGACCTTGTTTGATCCAACACAAGACAAATGCCTACACTAAACTGTCTCACCATATAGGCAGGGGCTGAAGTAAGCAAGAGACATATCATACACTAAACTGTCTCACCATACAGACCTTGTTTGATCCAACACAAGACAAATGCCTACACTAAACTATCTCACCAAATAGGCAGGGCCTGAAACAAGCACAAGGCATATGCCTACACTAAACTATCTCACCATACAGACCTGGTTTGATCCAACACAAGACAAATGCCTACACTAAACTATCTCACCAAATAGGCAGGGCCTGAAACAAGCACAAGGCCTATGCCTACACTAAACTATCTCACCATACAGACCTAGTTTGATCCAACGCAACACAAATGCCTACACTAAACTATCTCACCAAATAGGCAGGGCCAGAAGCAAACACAAGGCATATGCCTACACTAAGCTGTCTCACCAAATAGGCCGAGGCTGAAGCAAGCATAAGGCATATGCCTACACTAAGCTGTCTCACCAAATAGGCAGGGCCAGAAGCAAGCATAAGGCATATACCTACACTAAGCTGTCTCACCAAATAGGCAGAGGCTGAAGCAAGCACAAGGCATATGCCTACACTAAGCTGTCTCACCAAATAGGCAGAGGCTGAAGCAAGCACAAGGCATATGCCTACACTAAACTGTCTCACCAAATAGGCAGAGGCTGAAGCAAGCACAAGGCATATACCTACACTAAGCTGTTTCACCAAATAGGCAGAGGCTGAAGCAAGCACAAGGCATATACCTACACTAAATTGTCTCACCAAATAGGCAGAGGCTGAAGCAAGCACAAGGCATATACCTACACTAAGCTGTCTCACCAAATAGGCAGAGGCTGAAGCAAGCACAAGGCATATGCCTACACTAAACTGTCTCACCAAATAGGCAGGGCCAGAAGCAAGCACAAGGCATATACCTACACTAAGCCTTCTCACCAAACAGGCAGAGGCTGAAGCAAGCACAAGGCATATGCCTACACTAAACTGTCTCACTTTACAGGCAGGGCTGGATCCAGCACTACATACCTGGCCTAAACTCAGTGAGAGTGGTTTTATGCTGCTTTTAGCAATATTCAAGCAACATGACAACAGGAGACGCCAAATGTGAGCTTCACACATTGTCGCTTGGGGGAAACGAATATCAGGGGGTGATGGCGTAGCCTAGTGGTTAAAACGCTTGCTCATCATGCCGAAGACCCAGGTTCAATTCTCCGCATGGGTACAATGTGTGAAGCCCTTTCTGGTGTCCCCCACCGTGATATTGCTGGAATATTGCTAAAAGCGGCGTAAAGGTAAACTCACTCACTCTTATATCAGGCGATTATTTCTGTGTTTATTTACATAAAATGGCAGTATGTCGCCAATCTATGTCTTACATGTTTCTGATTAGGAAGTTGTCTGGTTTGATGTCTCCATGAATGATGTTACACTTGTGCAGCTTCTCTATCATGTGCATCATCTCAATCGTCATGAACATCACAAGTGGCTCCATATCATTGCGCAGTGTCGATTGTACGCGGACATAGTTCACCAGGGACTAAAAAGAACACAAAACCAAGCTATGTATTACTACTTCAACTACAACATAGGAATGGTCACAGATATCTAGGAGGTGAGGTGAAATTGGGTTTAACGTCGTGCTTGAGAATATTTCGCTCATATGACGACGTGCATGCATGTGTATGTGTAGGTGCGGCTGCTTGTACTAGCCCAGACTTAAGCTTGTTTTATAGTGCTAGCCCACTGAGATACCATGCCGCAGTGAAGCATGAATACCCCACTCAGACACATTATACTGACTCCGAGCCAACCAGTCCTTGTTGTACCCATTAATGCCAAACGCCAGGCAGGAACCAACAAGTACCATATTTTAACGTCTTTTGGTATGATGCGGTCGGGGATCGAACCCGCGACCTTCCGCTCTCTGGGCGGACGCTCTAACCACTACACCACGGAGGCGGTCACAGATATCTAGGAACATGTCAGTTCAGAAATGTATCTTTAAACATAAGCATTGACTAACTAGGGCTGGGATGATTCACCGATGCATTGCGATACATTTAAGTTTGATACAGCTATCGTATCGTTGACTGGTGTATCGAAACAAAACGATACACAACTTGTTTTCAAAACAGTATTATCTTAAACATGTTACAGTAATTATTTAGAGAAAGATACGCAAGTATGATGGAGTTACTTGTTTGTTTATTACAAAAGTATTATTGTTAAACACAAATACCTTGAAATAATCATTTTAAATCTTGATACTGTGTGATTCTTTCAAGGTGTATGTATCGTGATACGTATCGTATCGCAGGAAAAATATCGCAATATGTATCGTATCATGACATAGTGTATCGTCCCAGCCCTATGACTAACTTTAAATCATACATTATGCATAAAGCAGATTCTTTGGGGGCTAGTTGAATCACTCGTGATCTTTGCTCTGAACTGATACGGTTGTCTGATTCAATTTTCCAATTATCGAACAAGAAGAAGCCACAGGGTATTACTTACCAGGAGAGAGCCTTTGGTGTGTAAGGTGCTGATGAGACAGCTGCCATCATCATAGAAATAACCTTTGTCGATAGCCATCAGGGAATCACTCTGAAAAACACAAGGCAACATACAGCAATAGCTACCTGTACATCTTTCAGTAGATATCACCTGTATCATTTACAGGTGTTTCCTGCATTATTTGGAGTAGGTAATACGTGCACTTTATGCCATGACATACAGAAGGTATTACCTGTAACACATACAGGTGTTTCATTAGTAAAAGATGCTGTAAAGCTCACAGCAGGTGTTACCTAACTACTAACAGGTAGGAGAGAATGATGGAACTAACCACATCCATGGGATCACTGATTTCCTTCAAGCGCTCACTGATCTGGCTGCAGATATAGAATTCCCAGGGACAAGCCGGTTTCTGAACCTGCCAACACAAGGCTCAATGAAACATTCAATGAAACATTCAAGAAAGTAAAGATGACATGAATAAAGAAGTAACAGCTAGCTTGCTTACTGAATTACTTCCTTCCTTAAGTGGTTATTACAGCCTCATGATATTGCTGACACGGACAAGTGGTTATTACAGCCTCATGATATTGCTCACATTGACAGGTCGTTATTTTGGCCTCATGATATTGCTGACACTGACAAGTGGTTATTACAACCTCATGATATTGCCTATTTTGACAGGTGGTTATTATGTTCCATGATATTGCTCACATAGACAGGTGGTTATTATGGCCTCATGATATTGCTCACAGACACAGGTGGTTATTACCGCCTCATGATATTGCTCACAGACACAGGTGGTTTTACGACCTCATGATATTGCTCACATAGACAGGCGGTTATTAAAGCCTCATGATATTGCTCACATAGACAGGCGGTTATTAAAGCCTCATGATATTGCTCACATAGACAGGCGGTTATTAAAGCCTCATGATATTGCTCACAGAGACAGGTGGTTATTACGACCTCATGATATTGCTCACATAGACAGGCGGTTATTAAAGCCTCATGATATTGCTGACATAGACAGGCGGTTATTAAAGCCTCATGATATTGCTGACATAGACAGGTGGTTATTACGACCTCATGATATTGCTCACATAGACAGGCGGTTATTAAAGCCTCATGATATTGCTGACATAGACAGGTGGTTATTACAGCCTCATGATACTGCTCAGACAAGTGGTAATTATGTCCTCATCACACTCATTATACTGTGTATGTTGACAGGTTATGACCTCATTATACTGTGTATGTTGACAGTAGACTGACATCCATGCGTTGCTTATGTCGACAGAAGGTAATGTCCTTATTGCTCACTGCAGATTTATAACCACACTGTTTTGCCTACCTTGAGAGCTTTTTCCTCCCCCTCGGTATCACATAAATCATCAAGGTTGTCCATGTCAAATAATCTTCCCCTGTACACACTGCCAAAACCTCCTTTACCAATACATTCAGAGATGTTGTACGTCTCTGTTCCTGGAAAGAGACAAACCATTTCCACATTCAATTCTGTTAACAAAACACACTGACAAACATATCATCTACAGTGCACAATGAGTTTTATATTAATCCATGCTGAAATCAATTGCTAATAACAAACGAAATATTTTGAGGGCACAAGCTAGTCTGAACTTCACAAACTAACTTGAGTGCCTGTCAGAACTGTTGTTCCTGACTAAAATAATTTCTCTTTTAAGGTTATATCTTTCACATCATTATTTGTGCAATAAGTTTACTCCAAGAGTGAGTGAGTATGGTTTTACACCGCTTTTAGCAATATTCCAGCAATATCAATGAGTGTTCACGAATGGCGTTTCAAAGTAACAGGACATTGGGTCCTGTAAGTTTCAGATGTCTGTCTGACCCATTGAAAATTCACAGGACCCATAGAATACAATTAAACACATATTTCAGATTAAACATTTCTTATAATTAGCATCAAAATTATTAACATACATTAGATTTATAAACAGCAAACAAGTGTCACATGTCACATATAAAAACTTCAGTCAAAGTCATTGAGAAATATAGTCAGACACTGGGGCCGGCGGGTGGTAGACTTCTATCGGACCGTTGGTGAATCTGCCGGATTTGTCAGAGGGTCAGACGCTATTCGTGAACACTGTATCACGGTGGGGAACTCCAGAAATGGACTTCACACATTGTACCCATGTGGGGAATTGAACCCAGGTCTTTGCCATGACAAGCGAACGCTTTAACCACTAGGCCCCCTTTACTTCAAGAAAGACTCACCTAGGAGAACAAATGTTGTGATCATATGTGGCAAGGGTTCATTGATATGATAGTAGTTCTTGTATTCCTCTAAAGGACGTTCCAGACTGGACAAAACTTCATCAATCTCAGCCTGGTCAAAGGGGTCATGAGGGTTGATCATAACTGACATAGACAGCAGTGCTTCCGTCTTCTCATCCGGCTCAGGAGCCACATAGTCAGCCATGTCGATCTCGTGATGCTTGTGACTGTCTGGGATGGTGATGGGGCAAAGCTCTAGAGTGGTCACATGGTGTTTAGAGTTGAGGTGGCTGGGATGACACTTGGACTCTTCCCCACTGCCCTCTGTACTTCCCTCAAAGATAGGACTGAAATGGAAGGGAGTTTCCGCACTGACATACTTCACCACAAGGGACAAAATACTTTAATATTTCCATACACATATCATTATTCAGTCTTGTTCAAAGGGTCAGAATAAAGATGCCCACTCACCTGAGAGAAGTTTTAGATGGTGGTGCTATGCTAACATCAAAACTTGGCTGTTGGGGGTTCTGCAGAGACTGTGCTGACACAACCTCAGGGTGTTCCTGGGGTGCCTTGATCTGGCTGAGTGGGGGGTTCGGCAGTTGTGGTAACTTCCCCATTGATAAATAAGGGGTGGATGCAAGACAGGCTGCAGAGGCAAAGCTCTCACTGGATCCAACATTTGCCAGTGTCATGTCTGTCATGGGCATGTGTAATATGTAGTCATCTGGAGAATCCTCACTTGGCATAACCTGAACAGAAAGGCTTTCTCAAGTTTGTTATGCAGAAAGCCATCTTGTCTCTAAACAAATAACTCACCCTTATCATCATGTGATTGGGATCATAAAGCTAGCGAGATTGTCAATAAAGTCACTCCTTCATACACAACTATACATATTATATGTTAAAGCTACGGAAGGTAAAAGTAATGTTAACCTCCTGGCACCTCACAGACTACTTGGGTTATAAACTTCCCAGGGAATTTAAATAACCTAGTAACCTGAGTAAAATCTAGGGGCCTAAATTTTCGAAGCTCTCTTAGTGTTAAGATGGTTCATAAGTGCCATACATTAACATTAACTTACGACTATCTTAGCTCAGAGAGCATAAAGCTAATTTAATAAAGTCACTCCCAGGTCATCAGGCTAACCTCCTGGCACCTCACAGATCTATAGCCAGGGAAAATCACTTTTAGGGGTGAGTAGTGTTAAGATGGTTTAAGTATGCCGCTTAGCAATAATCCAGGCTACTCTGCAATATCATAGCGTTTATACAAAGCCACGGAAGGTAAAAGTAATGTTAACCTCCTGGCACCTTCACAGACTACTTTGGGTTATAAACTTCCCAGGAATTTACCAACTCTAGTAACCTGAGTAAATTCAGGTTTGTGTTCTCCTATCATAGCAGTGTTCTCCCAAAATGGGCTTCACACATTGGGCGTGACAAGTGAATGCATTAACCACTAGGCTACCCTACCAACCCCTAAATCATTTTAGTAGAATAGCCTATTCCAAATTTAGTCTGCTTTTACATCAGGTGCTGGGGTTGAAGTCACTGGTGGTTCTACTGTCAGGCTAGAGAAGAATATTGAGATGGGCCTACCTTGACAGTTTCCACCATGACTATATCATGCTCCCCCTCAGGGTCGACAGGGAGACCTATGGATGGCTGCAAGTGGCCTGACAAGTTGTGGCGGCGAGGAGCAGGCTTGTAATCCTTGGGGGGCCTGGAAGTTAACAAACTACCCTTCTCAAGGCTAAAGCAATCATATGACTATGTCCTAATCATAATGAAACACAATATAATTAGTGAGTGAGTGAGTGAGTTTGGTTTTACGCCGCTTTTAGCAATATTCCAGCAACATCACGGCGGGGTACACCAGAAATGGGCTTCAGACATTGTACCCATGTGGGGAATCGAACCCGGCCTTCGGCGTGACAAACCAATGCTTCACCCATAGGCTACCCCACTTCAGTGCAACCATAACTTTGATCAGTCCAGTGAGTTAGTTTAATTTTACGCGACTTTCAGGAATATTCCAGCAATATCATGTCGGGGGACACAAGAAATGGGCTTCACACATTGGATCCATGGATCCCGGATCTTCGGTGTGATGAGGGACACTTTAACCACTAGGCTACCCCATCGCCCCAATCAGTCCAGTGTTTCATCTGACATGTCAACAGGGAAATGGGAAGATTCATGGAAGAGAGGCCATGTCATTACTAACTGACAATTACTTACGTGTTCTCTTTGTCACCAGCTGGATCCTGTTGAGTAATCATTGGCACAGCTTGCTCTTCTGATTCGTCATAGATGGCAAAGGGCTGATTACCAACAGGGGCTATCACAGCAGCTTGAGCTAAACAAAGACAATCACAGATGTTCAAAAACAAAAGATAACTTCACAAAAATTCAAACAAACCTGTAGAGGTTTCTGATTCTTTGATGAGAGTCCTCCTTGGGGTACATATAAGCATTAAAATGTCCATTTTCAATCCCAACGACAGTTGTAACTATATTTTGAATAAAATATCTACAAACAAAAAACAACGTTTTTGTCTCGTCGACCACCCCTATGGACCCCAGAATGGACCCGTCCACCAAGAACAGGCAACTCTAGGCGTTAACCTCGTACCTCACTTTCCATGCTAAACGTATCAGACAGAATGTGAGACGGTGGGTGGCCGTACCCCAAGGAGGACTCTCATCAAATAATCAGCAACCTCTACAGGTTTGTTTGATTCTTTTTCATGAGAGATCCTCCTTGGGGTACATATAAGCATAAGACAGACTCCTAAAGACAAGAGTCCTGGGAGTGGTATTCTGTCTGATAAACTACGCCCCCGACAAGCTGAACATTCCCAACTGTAAAAAGAAAAAGGAACAGCTCACTTACCTGGCCACGTGACCTCTTCAGCCAATCTGGCAAGGGCGTGGTCCAGGGTCAGGGAAAATATATTCTGCTCATATGCAAATGAGGCAGTGAACTATGCATGAAGTAAACAATTGTGCCCCACCCCCATCCCGAGTTTCATAAACACCTAAGGAGGGAGAGACATTAAATCCCATGAAACCGCAGCAAAGCTTAGATTTCTAAGGAATAATGCACAAAGAAGATACACAGGGGAGAACAAACCATCACCATAAAAAAACAAACACCAAGTAAGGGTAAAAAGGGAAGGAAAGTTGACCGCAAACCCGCCACCAGTAAAAAACAGATAAAGCCGTAAATCTAAAGCTCAATCGGCTAGAGAGTTACGACTCTGCCCACTGGAGAGAACAGACTGACCAAACCGAGCACGCTCACTGGAGTGTCTGACAAGTTGATAATGCCGGATGAACGTACTCGGCCGGCTCCAGATAGCCACGGAGCAGATCTCCTCAACAGGCAGAGCCCCAGCATAAGCCTTAGATGTGGCGACTGCTCTAACCAAATGAGCTTGTAACCCAGAAGGTGGTGTTAACCCTTTCTGTGTATAGCTCGTACCAAAGGGCAGAGACAAGCCACCTAAATATGGTCTGCTTGTTCGCCGGAAGACCAGCCTTACCTCCACCATAACAGCAAAACAATTGGTTATCTCTCCAGATAGCCAATGTCCACTTGATATAAGCCTTGAGGGTCTTACGCACATCTAAGACGTGAGCACGCCGAAGAGAGGTACCCGGTGGGGAAGGCTAAGTGAAAGCTGGAAGCTCAATAGGCGCCGTGACATGAAAGGCGCTGTCTCTCTAATGCTAACTCTGTCTTTATGAAAAACAGTTAGCTGGGGGTCGGCTGACATTGCATGAATGTTGCCTACTGGCCAGCCGGAGGTTACCGCCACAAGAAAAGCTGCCTTCCACGTCAACAGCTGGAGGGAAAGAGCCAACAGATCATAAAAGAAAGGACCGGACAGCCAATCAAGAACGATCGACAAGTCCCACGGGGGACTGATCCGCCGGACACCCCACCTAGATATGGTCTGCCACACCTGCTGTGTGGATTCTGTCCACACCTGCTAAAAAACGCTGTACAAGAGGGTGCTGCCCCAAGAGTGCACCGTCGACAGGAATATGAAACGCTGAAATAGCCGTTGAGTTACCTCGAACAGTTGAAGCAGCTAGCCCCGCTTCAAACCGAGACTGGAGGAACTCAAGCACCGTGACTAGATCTGCAGAAAAGGGATCAAGCATCCCCCTGCCGACACACCAGCGCGTATAGCAGGCCCATCTATCCTCATATTGAAAGTTTGTCGAATCCTTCCGCGAAGCCAGAATGGTGTTTGCAACTGATGCAGGAATTCCGCTCGTCTGGAGGCGATTCCGGACAGTGGCCATGCCACCCACTGAATCCTGGGATTCGGGTGTGGCGCTCCATTCTGGGATAGAAGATCCGGTCGAAAGGGTAATAGTACAGGAGGCTGAGCCAGAAACCTGAGAATTACCGGAAACCAGCTTTGAGCTAACCAAAGAGGTGCAAGGAGCACTAACAGTCGAGCTGGTTGGGTGGCCAACTGCGATAGGATCTTGGATATCAGTGGTATCGGTGGGAACACCCACAGTACCCTGTCCGTCCAGTCGAGTTGGAAGGCATCGTTGGCTATCGCTCTCCAGTATCCGGTATCCGAGAGCAAAACTCTGGTATCTGGTTCGTCGCACCAGAGGCAAACTGATCCACCTGGAACGACCTATACAAATGGGTGATAATCCTGAATGTCCCCCGGTCTAGCATCCACTGATATGCAGTGTGATATGCAGACTGATCCAGAACACCCCCAACCTGCATCCAGAGGAACACCCCTGGATAAGTTCCCGCAACCGCAAGTGAGGGGTTAACCAGTCGGGCCTCACGAGAACCTTCTCGTAGCTCTCCGAATGGGACCACAGTTGAGCCAGTGCCTGCTGTATAGGTCTCATCAGACACGCACGCCACACCACATACACAGTCGCCGCCAAGTTGCCTAGCAACTGGAGCCACGCCCGAGCTGAAGCCGCGGGAGTCTCAAGAAACTGTAAAACAGTTCTCTGAACTTTGGCAATGCAGTCCTGAGACAGGGAAACAATCCTTGTCTCTGTTTTGTATCTTGTTTCCAAGAAAAACAGATCCTGTGTCGGAACGAGTTCTGATTTTTTTAGATTGATAATCCATCCCAGCCGTATGAGAATATCCATCACGTGATGTGTGGTATTCCTGCTCAACTGCTGGCCTAACGCCCGGAGCAGCCAGTAGTCGAGGTACGGGTGACAAAACCTGCCCTCTGACCTGGCTAACTGAGCTGGGATTAACATGAGTTTGGTGAACATCCTTGGCGCCTTGGAGATGACAAAGGGGAGCACATGAAACTGGTAGCACTTCTCGTCAAAGGAGAACCTAATGTACTTCTTGAAATCGGTGTGCATTGGTACATGTAGGTAAGCGTCTTTGAGATCGCTTGACGTGAGCCAATCCCTTGTCTCGACGGAGTAGATCACTGAGCGCAGTGTCTCCATCCTGAAAGATGGCACTTCTATCATTTTGTTCAGCCCTTTTAGATTGAGTATGGGTCTGAACCCTCCGTCCTTCTTGGTCACTATGAAATACGTGGAGTAAAATCCCTAGTTTTCGTGACCTTCCGGGACCACCAGTAGAGACTGGACCTCGGCACAGAGAATGCCCGCTTTTTCCTGGGAGATGAGCACAGGAGTGTGCCGCATCCCAGTGAATGGTGGCGGACCTCGCTTCCACTGTGGCATATGGCCATCCCTGAGTGTGGACAGGACCCAGGGATTTGAAGTGGCTTTCACCCATTCCGGGAAGAAGAGTGTAAGCTGGACGCCTACAGGGACGTGTGGCATGAGGCAGTGCACTCCCACACGCCCGATCTATCCGACTTCAGAGGCTGACTTCAGAGCTGGGGCGTTGGCAGGGAAAGGCGGCAGTCGCTGGCCCTGCCTTGCCGAAGACAGGGAGGAAGAGGAACCACCAAGTGTGACAGACGTAAAGACGCACTCATCCACCACCGGCGGCTCAAACAGTGCCTCTTCTCCCAAAGGGTACCGCCTGCTAAGTTCCGGTAGACAAGAGCGAGTACCCGAGAGGAGAGGATTAATCACCGTGGCAATCAATGATGAGAGAATACAGAGTTTAGCCTCAGCCACTCGCGTAGGCACAAAAGCCTCCCCCGGAAGGCGAAATTCCGAGGGGTCAGGCCCAAGCACAGGCACAGGAACAGTAACCTGAGGCAGCACTTGTGCAATGCGTTCGCGCACCTGCCTCAGAGACGATCCAAAAGAGTACGAGACCTCACCCTCTGGCTCGTCTCTTCCCCATCCTCCTCCATGTCCACATCGTCACATCCCTCGGTAACCGAACTCTCTGTAAAGAGAGACGGCTCCGTGGGCACCGTTCACATAGAACATGAAGGACTCAAGGAAAAGATAACCAGAGGGTTCAGATCGCCCTGTCCCCGGCTCGGACCTGAGCCGCGGGGCTGAGGCAACAAGGTAGGAACTGCCGAAGCAGGCCGCCCAGTGTGCCCAGCCAAGCCTCTGAGCGCCGAGGGACCTGGTTGCCCAGGTATGCTCAGGCGCCCATCGGCGGCAGACGAATCCTGCGCCCCACCGGGGTAGGAGCCCAACTCGGCACTAGGAACAACAGACAGACCATCCCCCGAGCCGAGACTCGGGGTAGGTTGCCCAGGGATAGGTGCACGCCACCGTCCCCAGGAGAGCAACCTGGACCATCGAGATTAACACATTGCGTGCCGAGCTCCTGACGGAGCCCGGACATTGCACTATCAATCATCGACTTCACATTAGACATCTGCTGCTGCTTGTGTTGCTGAAATAGTGAAGCAATTGAGTCAATATGTAAGGCAGCAGCAGGGGGGTGTGGGGGGGGGTTGGACTGACTGACTGGCTGCAAGTGGCCTGACAAGTTGTGGCGGCGAGGAGCAGGCTTGTAATCCTTGGGGGGCCTGGAAGTTAACAAACTACCCTTCTCAAGGCTAAAGCAATCATATGACAATGTCCTAATCATAATGAAACACAATATAATTAGTGAGTGAGTGAGTGAGTTTGGTTTTACGCCGCTTTTAGCAATATTCCAGCAACATCACGGCGGGGGGGCACCAGAAATGGGCTTCACACATTGTACCCATGTGGGGATTCGAAACTGGGTCTTCGGAGTGACGAGCCAACGCTTTAACCACTAGGCTACCCCACCGCCCCTGTGGGGGATTTGGAGGTGGAGGGAACAGGTGACATCTTAGACACGATGCATGACCACTGCAACAAACGTCAAGTCTGACAGAGAACGTATAACGTAACCACAAAAATATGCATGGGCGATTAATAAATATAAATATTACCCATACTAGCATATAGACTGTACTTAAACAAGAAGACAAAGACCCCGCAATGGCAAAATACTCTTCATGATTATGTCTATGAGTTATGATTATGTCAAATATTTAGGTGTGTATATAGAAAAGTGGAAGGAGAGTATTGAAAGGTTTTTAAAGTTCTGCTCCAGAAAAGAGCACTACCACCAATTTCAGGCTAAGTCGAACTTGTTGCCATGGAAATGCCAAAAATATTTTATTCAGAATTCCAAAACTACCAAAAGGCACCAGTACACCACCAGACCAATCTATGTGCCAAGTTTGGTGAAAAAATAGCGAACGGTTTTAGAGTTCAGCTCCGGAAAAGAGCACTACCACAATTTCAGGCTAAGTCAAACTTGTTGCCACAGAAAAGCCAAAAATATTTTATTCAGAATTCCACAACTACGAAAAAGGCACCAGTACACCACCAGATCTATCTATGTGCCAAGTTTGGTGAAGAAATATTGAACGGTTTTAGAGTTCTGCTCCGGAAAAGAGCACTACCACCAATTTCAGTCAAAGTCGAACTTGTTGCCACAGAAAAACCAAAAATATTTTATTCACAATTCCAAAACTACGAAAAAGGCACCAGTACACCACCAGATCCATGTATGTGCCAAGATTGGTGAAGAAATATTGAACGATTTTAGAGTTCTGCTCCGGAAAACAAATGTGGACAGACGGACGGACGGACGGACGGACTCACGGACGCACGGACGGAGTCCATTTGAATTCCAAAACTACCAAAAGGCACCAGTACACCACCGGATCTATCTATGTGCCCAGTTTGGTGAAGAAATAGTGAACGGTTTTAGAGTTCTACTCCGGAAAAGACAAATGTGCACAGACGGATGGACGGACGGATGGACGCACGGACAGAGTCCATTTTAATACCCCCCGCAAAACGCGTTGCAGGGGAGAATAAGAACTAGTGCATGCCAGCCCACTTCATAACATGGAGCCCATTAGCAACATATGACGTGAATACAACTATTTAGAGCAAATCACGTAATATAAATAATCCACCTGAAAAGAGATAAATATCTACAAATTCAGTAACACAACACACAAACCTAGACAAGGGAGCTACAGGGTAACCTGAAAAAGCAAGCGTGTATGCGCCTCCCGTCCGCCATCTTGACAAGTACATGGCAAGCCAACAGGGACTAAGACGAAAGTTACAACAAATGATGAATGAAAACTTTCAAAAACATTGATCAATTACCGCCCATGCGAATAAGAGATAACCATACATACAGTAGCTGTTTCTGAAGAACTCTTCTGGTCAATCGAAAGGGAAAATCAACTTGTAAGCTGAAGGACACGTCGATACTGACGAACAACAGCATGGAACGAGGTACGAGGTTAGCGCCTAGAGTTACCTGTTCTTGGCGGACAGGTCCATTCTGGTGTCCGTAGGGGTAGTTGAACAAGACAAAAACGTTGTTTTTTGTTTGTAAATATTTTATTCAAAATATAGTTACAACTGTCGCAGGGATTCAAAATGGACATTTTAATCCTTTAAAAGGAGGATCTCTCATGAAAAAGAATACTTGTTTGTTTGTGGTTTAATGCCACACTCAGCAGTTTTCCAGCCATAAAATGGAAGTCTGAAGCTATTCGAGTCTGAACCAAACAATCCAGTGTTTAACATCATGAGCATTGATCTACACAATTGGGACAAGTATGGGTTGATGAAGACCAGCATTGCAATACATGATATGAAACAAAAATTAAACAAAAATATTTAGCAAAACCTAGTTATATAATGAGATTAAATTTTAACCACTTTAATATTTTATGAGCGCTTCAGTAATCATAATATGACTAAGCTTGACAAGCAAGTTAGGTAGGTAATATTTCTGATGAAAGGACTTTCTGCTGTACGTAAAAAATAGACCCTCATTATTCTATTTCATAATGTAATCTAACATCATTATATTTTGTTATATTTACATCAGTCAACAGACAACCATTTAGTCTAGTTTTTGTTTAGAAATAGTTTGTGTGTGTGCAGGAAATGATGACATCATGAGTGATGTGCAGGAAATGATGATGCCATCATGAGTGATGTGCAGGAAATGATGATGCCATAAGTGATGTGTAGGAAATGATGACATCATGAGTGATGTGTAGGTGAGGTGAAATTGGGTTTAACGTCGGGCTTGAGAATATTTCGCTCATATGACGATGTGATGTGTAGGAAATGATGACGCCATAAGTGATGTGTAGGAAATGATGACGCCATAAGTGATGTGTAGGAAATGATGACATCATGAGTGATGTGTAGGAAATGATGACGTAATGAGTGATGTGTAGGAAATGATGAAGTAATGGGTGATGTGTAGGAAATGATGACGTAATGAGTGATGTGTAGGAAATGATGATGTAATGAGTGATGTGCAGGAAATGGTGACATAATGAGTGATGTGTAGGAAATGATGACATAATGAGTGATGTGCAGGAAATGATGACGCCATAAGTGATGTGTAGGAAATGATGACATAATGAGTGATATGTAGGAAATGATGACGTAATGAGACGATGATGTAAATGAATGTGATGACGAATGGGTGATGATGTAGGAAATGATGAGCGATAATATGTGTAGGAAATGATGACGTAATGAGTGATGTGTAGGAAATGATGACGTAATGAGTGATGTGTAGGAAATGATGACGTAATGAGTGATGTGTAGGAAATGATGACGTAATGAGTGATGTGTAGGAAATGATGACGTCATGAGATGATGAGTATGAAATGATGACGTAATGAGTGATGAGTAGGAAATGATGACGTAATGAGTAATGTGTAGAAAATGACGATGACGTAGGAAATGAGTAAATGAGTGATAGGAAATGATGACGTAATGAGTGATGTGTAGGAAATGATGACGTAATGAGTGATCTGTAGGAAATGATGACGTAATGAGTGATGTGTAGGAAATGATGACGTAATGAGTGATGTGTAGGAAATGATGACGTAATGAGTGATGTGATGTGTAGGAAATGATAAAGTCATGAGATGATGTGTAGGAAATGATGAGGTCATGAGATGATGTGTAGGAAATGATGAGGTCATGAGATGATGTGTAAAATGATGGCGGTTGAAATAAATGCAGAACCAATATCGGAGACTCAATCTGTTTTTATTCAGAGAAAGAGGCATGAAACGATCCCAGTACCCACGTAAAGCTGCACTATATCTTTCCCTATACTACATCATTTGGGGTACAATGACACAATGAACCGGGCTATTTATTGCAAACATTCAACTGTCAGTTTTAGTTGTATGTCAAGCATGGTACACTGAACCTACTCTGTCCCCAAAAGGCATGGACATCACCTATCTTACCTCCAGTGACTTCTCCGGTAGGCTCTTCACCAGGCCAGCCATACTGTTTCTCACAGTCCAGGGAGGCATTGAACATTCCACGGACAACCTTCAGGGCCTCCTGTGTGTTCACTGTTGGGGATGGGGCTACTAAACTCTGAAACAGTAACATTCACCCATGGAAACCAGAAATAATTTAGACATTTCCACAAAAAATAAGGACTCATAGAAAATATTCACTTCAAATTCCTGAAATTAATGTGAAAAATGCTGTTCAATCAGGACATAATTGAGTATATAATCATATCAGATTCATTGCAAAATGGGCCTGAAAAATTGACAAACTTAGAACTGATCTCAATAAATTGGCCACTTGATTAAGATGGTGTATGGTCTTAGAATCATTTACAGATGTTTTTATCTGTTTTATTGTTCATTGACCTATTTACACAAGAGTAGCAATGTTGTGGTGCATATATGAAATGAAACACAAGATTACTGATACTCTAATTTCCATTCAGTACTCTAAATGTACACTTCAGGTTTTCCAGTGCTCCTGTATTGACTAAATAAGGAGTACATACTCCTGATGTTGAAAAATTATCTGGAGCCCAGAGGTGTCAAACAATTGAAGTTAAGATAGTGTTGATACTATTCAATTGAACTGCTACCATGCAATTCCAATTCTACTGTCCTGAAAGCATTATTTGCTTATTAGCTTTACAAGTTCAAAAGCAGGGCAACTTATTTCATCATACAAATTTTTCCTGGGTGTGAAATAATTTGCTTTGAACCTATAAGTTGTTTTGGATTTCATACCTGTGAAAGAAAGGATTTGGGGGCGAATAGACAGCAGAAACTTTTGTCAAGATTCACATACAAATGACAAATGGTTTCTGACAAACTAGTGCATGTGAATGCATATTTAGCATCATGATGATAAAGTTAACAGTTTGGAAAGGCAACTGACCCCTCGATGGGAAAAACTGTTGCTGTCTGGTGTGGGTCCCCGAGACTTGGGCCTGGCACCAGAAGAACCATGAAAGGAGTTGACTGAGGTGTTAAAGACTGGTGTCCTCTGACTGGAGTTGAGGCTGGTGGAGGGGTCTGTGGGGGCTTCCATCTTCCTCCGTGCATCTCGAGATGCTAGCAGCTGTGCTGACAGACCAGGAGGCACATTCTCTGTGTTGCCATGGGAAGTCATATCATCAAAGTTGAGCTGGCGAGTCAGTCTTTCACTGGAAAGACCATTTTAGACCTCAATATCCGCTTATGATATACATTTGTGGATGAGAGGCACTATATACATGCTGTTCTCCTGTTTACCTGGTATACAGCGGCAGAATGTACCTGTTGTTCTGTATATCGGGTGTAAGGGGGCAATATTTACCTGCTGTTCCCCTGTGTATCTGGTGTAAGATGGGCAGTATTTACCTGCTGTGCCCCTGTGTATCTGATGTAATATGGGCAGTATTTACCTGCTGTTCTCCTGTGTATCTGGTGTAAGGGGGTAGTATTTACCTGCTGTTCCCCTGTGTATCTGATGTAAGATGGGCAGTATTTACCTGCTGTTCCCCTGTGTATCTGGTGTAATATGGGCAGTATTTACCTGCTGTTCTCCTGTGTATCTGGTATCAGAGGGGCAGTATTTACCTGCTGTTCCCCTGTGTATCTGGTGTAATATGGGCAGTATTAACTGCTGTTCTCCTGTGTATCTGGTATCAGAGGGGCAGTATTTACCTGCTGTTCTCCTGTGTATCTGGTGTAAGAGGGGCAGTATTTACCTGCTTCTCCTCTGTGTATCTGGTGTAAGAGGGGCAGTATTTACCTGCTGTTCTCTTGTGTATCTGGTGTAATATGGGCACTATTTACCTGTTGTTCTGTATATCTGGTGTAAGGGGGCAATATTTACCTGCTGTTCCCCTGTGTATCTGGTGTAAGATGGGCAGTATTTACCTGCTGTTCCCCTGTGTATCTGGTGTAAGATGGGCAGTATTTACCTGCTGTTCCCCTGTGTATCTGGTGTAAGATGGGCAGTATTTACCTGCTGTTCTCCTGTGTATCTGGTGTAAGATGGGCAGCATTTACCTGCTGTTCTCCTGTGTATCTGGTGTAATATGGGCAGTATTTACCTGTTGTTCTGTATATCTGGTGTAAGGGGGCAATATTTACCTGCTGTTCTCCTGTGTATCTGGTGTAAGGGGGCAGTATTTACCTGCTGTTCCCCTGTGTATCTGGTGTAAGATGGGCAGTATTTACCTGCTGTTCCCCTGTGTATCTGGTGTAAGATGGGCAGCATTTACCTGCTGTTCCCCTGTGTATCTGGTGTCAGAGGGGCAGTATTTACCTGTTGTCTCCTGTGTATCTGGTGTAAGATGGGCAGTATTTACCTGCTGTCTCCTGTGTATCTGATGTAATATGGGCAGTATTTACCTGCTGTTCCCCTGTGTATCTGGTGTAAGAAGGGCAGTATTTACCTGCTGTTCTCCTGTGTATCTGGTATCAGAGGGGCAGTATTTACCTGCTGTTCTCCTGTGTATCTGGTGTAATATGGGCAGTATTAACTGCTGTTCTCCTGTGTATCTGGTATCAGAGGGGCAGTATTTACCTGCTGTCTCCTGTGTATCTGGTATCAGAGGGGCAGTATTTACCTGCTGTGCCCCTGTGTATCTGGTATCAGAGGGGCAGTATTTACCTGCTGTCTCCTGTGTATCTGGTATCAGAGGGGCAGTATTTACCTGCTGTGCCCCTGTGTATCTGGTGTCAGAGGGGCAGTATTTACCTGCTGTTCTCTTGTGTATCTGGTGTAATATGGGCACTATTTACCTGTTGTTCTGTATATCTGGTGTAAGGGGGCAATATTTACCTGCTGTTCTCCTGTGTATCTGGTGTAAGAAGGGCAGTATTTACCTGCTGTTCCCCTGTGTATCTGGTGTAAGATGGGCAGTATTTACCTGCTGTTCCCCTGTGTATCTGGTGTAAGATGGGCAGTATTTACCTGCTGTTCTCCTGTGTATCTGGTGTCAGAGGGGCAATATTTACCTGCTGTTCTCCTGTGTATCTGGTGTAATATGGGCAGTATTTACCTGTTGTTCTGTATATCTGGTGTAGGGGGGCAATATTTACCTGCTGTTCTCCTGTGTATCTGGTGTAAGGGGGCAGTATTTACCTGCTGTTCCCCTGTGTATCTGGTGTAAGATGGGCAGTATTTACCTGCTGTTCCCCTGTGTATCTGGTGTAAGATGGGCAGTATTTACCTGTTGTCTCCTGTGTATCTGGTGTAAGAAGGGCAGTATTTACCTGCTGTCTCCTGTGTATCTGGTGTAAGAGGGGCAGTATTTACCTGCTGTTCCCCTGTGTATCTGGTGTAAGATGGGCAGTATTTACCTGCTGTTCCCCTGTGTATCTGATGTGTGGAGGCAGTGTTTACCTGCTGTTCTCCTGTGTATCTGGTGTGAGATGGGCAGTATTTACCTGATGTTCCCCTGTGTATCTGGTATCAGAGGGGCAGTATTTACCTGCTGTGCCCCTGTGTATCTGGTATCAGAGGGGCAGTATTTACCTGCTGTTCCCCTGTGTATCTGGTGTCAGAGGGGCAGTATTTACCTGCTGTTCTCTTGTGTATCTGGTGTAATATGGGCACTATTTACCTGTTGTTCTGTATATCTGGTGTAGGGGGGCAATATTTACCTGCTGTTCTCCTGTGTATCTGGTGTAAGAAGGGCAGTATTTACCTGCTGTTCCCCTGTGTATCTGGTGTAAGATGGGCAGTATTTACCTGCTGTTCCCCTGTGTATCTGGTGTAAGATGGGCACTATTTACCTGTTGTTCTGTATATCTGGTGTAAGGGGGCAATATTTACCTGCTGTTCTCCTGTGTATCTGGTGTAAGAAGGGCAGTATTTACCTGCTGTTCCCCTGTGTATCTGGTGTAAGATGGGCAGTATTTACCTGCTGTTCCCCTGTGTATCTGGTGTAAGATGGGCAGTATTTACCTGCTGTTCTCCTGTGTATCTGGTGTCAGAGGGGCAATATTTACCTGCTGTTCTCCTGTGTATCTGGTGTAATATGGGCAGTATTTACCTGTTGTTCTGTATATCTGGTGTAAGGGGGCAATATTTACCTGCTGTTCTCCTGTGTATCTGGTGTAAGGGGGCGGTATTTACCTGCTGTTCCCCTGTGTATCTGGTGTAAGATGGGCAGTATTTACCTGCTGTTCCCCTGTGTATCTGGTGTAAGATGGGCAGTATTTACCTGTTGTCTCCTGTGTATCTGGTGTAAGAAGGGCAGTATTTACCTGCTGTCTCCTGTGTATCTGGTGTAAGAGGGGCAGTATTTACCTGCTGTTCCCCTGTGTATCTGGTGTAAGATGGGCAGTATTTACCTGCTGTTCCCCTGTGTATCTGATGTGTGGAGGCAGTGTTTACCTGCTGTTCTCCTGTGTATCTGGTGTGAGATGGGCAGTATTTACCTGATGTTCCCCTGTGTATCTGGTGCAAGATGGGCAGTATTTACCTGCTGTTCTCCTGTGTATCTGGTGTAAGAGGGGCAGTATTTACCTGTTGTCTCCTGTGTATCTGGTGTAAGAGGGGCAGTATTTACCTGCTGTTCTCCTGTGTATCTGGTGTGTGGCTAATATTGAGTTGCCTCTGCAAACGCTGTTGTATGTCCTGATCCACTGCATTCTGGGCTTGCTGTGTCTGTGTGAGCCTACACAAAAAGTATGTAAGGAATGAGTTGGATTTATTTCCACTATTTCAGCTACATGACAGCATATCAACTTAAGATAAGTGAAAATCCCAAACTAATACAGACTACTGACAGACACATTTCTGATGCTCATCTTGAACAGATTTTTGTATCCAGGTAATTATTTATCAGAATTGCCTGAATTAAAGTACTTGGAATACAGCATCCTGCACACATACAAATAGAAAACTGCCAAGAATAAAAATTGCAACCACTGGGAAACTGAAAGGACATATTCATGTGTAGGACTGAATCCTGCTATTTCATAATTTGGTAATATTTACTTACATTTCCTTATGTCATCTCATAAAAAACACAATGCACAGTTAAATGCTTACTGAACTTCTAGTACTAGGTCTTGTAAATTTGTTTCAGTTGGTTAACGCCACATCCAGTTCTAATTAATGGCCACTGAGTATGCATATTCTTACATCGTATGTATTTAAGTAAAATATTCTCTCTGGGAACCCATTTTGGGTTTACCTGAGACACGTTACAGATAAAGCTTGTGAGTGGCAAAGACCCCCAAATAAAAAGAGGAGATATTCAAATAGAATCATCCAATGTATTTGAAAGACATTTGAAGAACTACAAACTGCTATGACTTCAATATTCTTTACAGTTTACATGCCTAAGAAATATGCGAGGAGCCCCTCACCTCTGGTTCTCTAGGTGCTCCTGCTGTAATGTCATCTGCTTTCGTAGATCCTCCATCATCTTATCTTTCTCTGCCTGTAACTGTTCCCGGATTGAGCGATGATAATTCACCAGCTCTTCCCTTGCCTGCTTCAGACGAATGGCCTCCTCTGCAAACAGATATCCATTAATGAGTACAATCAAAGGCCTTGAACGTGTTACCTTTGAAAACTGAAACTGGTATGATGGCAACAAGTTGCCCTTGGGATGTGGTGCATCATTTTGAGGGAGAACCTTTAGCTTCAGTCAGTTACAATATCTGTCAATCCTTGTTAATCACGGTCTATTATCATACGCTGTCATGCACATTTCCTCAATTTCAACCTATGCAGAAAGATCCCAATTAGAATTGGTCTTGAGCAACCCATGTTTGTCATACAAGGCGACTACGATGTACAGGTGGTAGCCAATTGCATATTTTGTTTATTCAAAATATCAAAAACAAGTGTAGAAGTGAGCCCAGCTCACATACCCCCACTTCCCACTTTGGGACATGGAAATGACTGATATTGATATATATATAGTGACAAGGATCAGCAGCTCAAAAGACTTTCTCCTTGACTCTACTAAACTTTATATACATGTTAGATAATAGTTTTGCCATGTACTGATTACAGTAATGATTTATGGAAACATTATTTTTTTGTGTTTTCCGTGGAAACCTGACATACAATTGAACTTGTTGCACACAATAAAGTGGACGTAGATGAAGATTGTTATTTTTTAGCACATGGCATATCTGTGGGTCATGATTAACGTGTGTATTAAGTTTGGTGAACCCATCATGTATAGTTTCGATGATATGCTGTGGCCAGGTAACCATCAAACACATTTTGCACCAAGTAATGTTTCCATGGAAACAACAACAAAACAAATTCTGAAAAAAAATTAAAATAAAAAAAATTAAAATAGCAAAAGGCACATCAATGGGTAATGATTTACATGTGTGTGAAGTTTGGTGAACCTAGCATGTAACCTTTAAGAGATATGCTCCGGACAAAACCATTAAACACATTTGGCACTAAGTTGTGTTTCCATGGAAACAGCAATAAAACAAAATTCTGAAAAAAAATTAAAATAGCAAAAGGCACATCAATGGGTAATGATTAACATGTGTGTGAAGTGTGGTGAACCTAGCATGTAAACTTTAAGAGATATGCTCCGGACAAAACCATCAAACACATTTGGCACTAAGTCGTGTTTCCATGGAAACAGCAATAAAACAAAATTCTGAAAAAAAATTAAAATAGCAAAAGGCAAATCAATGGGTAATGATTAACATGTGTGCGAAGTTTGGTGAACCTAGCATGTAAACTTTAAGAGTTATGCTCCGGACAAAGTTTCGGGATGGACAGACGGACGGAATGAACGCTATATACCCCCGTTACTTCGTAGCAGGGGTATAATTATGGTTATTTTGTTCCCCATGTTATTAAACAATGTAAGGTTTGGTTCTTGTTTTCAATTTGCTGCATTATGATGTATCTCATGTACCGAACTGAAACAACCGAACCAAAGGCCTTGTACCACACTATGTACTGTACCTTAGTAAGAGTGTACCGTTTCACCCCTAACAACCATCATAAAGACAGAAAATAGCAGCGAAGTGTTAAAAAATCAAATTCTCAGTTTCAATCTTAATAACTGCAAATAACCAACAAGTCCAGGTACTGTATTACCAAGTTCAAGCAATATTACCTTCTATTTTCTGTCTCTCTTCAGCAAGTTTTCTGTCCTGGTCTTCCTTTGCCTTCTGTTTGGTCAGCCAGCGTGCGCCTCGCAGCTCCTCAAAGGAAAACTCCTCCAGGCCACGGTAAATCTTGCCCTTGTTGTACATTGGCCTCATCTCCAGGCCCCCTGTCGGTGCTGGCTGCTGCATGGGTGCTAGAGGGTTGACATGCTTCTCAGGCTTCCGAGCACTACCCAAACACAGTATCAGTAGATACAGTACACACAATACACATACAAGAGAAGTTACACTGCACAACTTTAAGCGGAAATATGTTCCATAAGAGCAGAGTCCAATGTCTTTGGTTAATACCATAAGCATGAATCAGCCATACCAAGTGTTACACAATTATTATATAGGTATGTGATTATTATCAATGTTTGAACAGTTCAATCAGTACATCTTTGATCAGACACAATACCTACCTCAACACCTGTGGGTCAACGACTGATCCTTTCTGGGGTGTCCTGAAAAATAACGCAGGAGTACATTTAAGAATTGACTTAGATATATTTTACATTTATGTAGGTCTAACCATAACATACTGTACACAATGTAAATCTGCACACCAGTTTTTCCATTTGTAATTCAATGAATGCAAAATCATTAAATCAGTTCTTATAAATACAGCTTGTTATCAAGTTAAGTAAGATACAAAAATACATTGTCAGTTATAACATGGATATTTCATGGCATGAAAATAAACACCACCATGACATTTTTGCGAATGTATGTTTATCGGTACTGGTAATGATATCTTTTGCACTTAAAGTTTCAGCTGGATGTTTCTGACAATGGAACTGCATTCATATGTATCACTGCAGACTTTGATCATACCCTAGATTAGGTTCCAAACACTAAACTTACACCATAGGTTGGTCCACACAATCGTCTACATGGACTGTGAAACTGGGTGTGGCATTGGCTGCTAGCAAGGCTGTATTCTTCATGGGAACCTGTTTCACGAAATGTATAAACATTCACTGAACCTGTCTGGGCATGCTGAGTCACACAAATACTGTCAAGTTTGTATAATGTAAGTGTGCATTAGATGAGACAGATATAACATTCATAAACACAGTTCATACAAAACTCCAGACACCAAGTTGTAGGATCTCATAACATCTGTATCAAGGCCTCCCTGAAGCAATGATTGTTCTTAAAAAATAGTTACGTCTAAACAGATTTTACCTCGACAAATTAACTGAATGTCATTGATGGAATGGCTCTCCTGTACATCCAAATAAATTTCTCTAAGTCTATATCTCCATAAAAGAATACAACATGCATCAGTGACATACAATGTTGTTTACAATTCAGGACCATCATGCAAGGTAATTCACATCTGCCTTTCTTTCATATCTTATTTTGTCGGGCTACATATTTTGTGACTAGTGTAATATCCCTAATAAATCTTAAGTATACATCTTGGTGTATAATGGTTCAGGGTTACTGTTCCAACACTTAGATATATCTTATAGCGGCCAGAATATTACACAGGAAAGTACAGCCAGAGTTAATTCCCAGCACCATTGCGAAGCCAAGAAATAGAGAATACTAAACGATGTCCCGTGTAATACCATGTTTATGAAACGATGATACTATTAGTTTAGTATTTTATGTATTACTCACCCTACATTAGCAAAATACATTAGCAAAGTACATTTTGCCTAAGAATTTAACGAGTGTGATGACTCTCAGCTTTCCACTACAGGTCTAATACTACTGTGACAGAGGTATTAGCATTGTGACGTCATAACTGTAAACTACTTTGGCATCATACGTACGAGATCACGAGATGTTATTACACAATGTGTAATAACATTGTAAAATTATTAAACAGTCATATCTTCAACAGGTGAGTAATAAAGTAAAGTATATATCCAGTTGTAACATATTTTGTCAACCTCATTAAAATTTAATTGCACTATTCAGCACTACAGGTGTACTATGACACACAATTCAGTCAGGTACACAAAACACAACTAAATTATCCTCGTCTTAGACAGGTCTACTACAAGCATCAAGTAGAAGCAACCTAATTGCCTTATAATTCCCACAAAGGTCCATAAGATGAGGACACCTACCCTAGCTTTTGTCCAGACACCGGGCTTCTGCTCATTCTCCTGTTGGTGGCTCTTGTGGGGACAGTCTCCCACTCTCCGGTCTGCTTGGGGGTACAGGCTATCTCTGCATTCTCATCGGTGTAGATCTGGAAACCTATCCCATTTGTCTGTTTTTGCTTGTCACACTTCACAACACCTCCTTGTGAAGCTGAAAATATTTCATACAGTGTTCACTTCTACAAAGATGAGGCAAGACAAATGATGTATAACACTGCATTAATATAGCAATGTGCATGAAGATCTAGTTGTAAATGTTTTGAGGGTTTTTATAGAGTTAGTCACACCATGGTGCAGTTCTCAATGAATGACCCCTCAGACTCTGCCTCTTGGAAAGACAAGCTGCAAAAAAGTGTTTGCAGGCTCTAAATGCTCCCGATTGTTCTTTTTATGGGACAAACAGACCATGTGCTCTGATGTTTTCGATGTTACCTATTCCACAGCCTAATATCTATCCAGTCTATGTGCTGGTATTCCTTACCACAACCACCAGTACCCACTTCCACCTCATTTACACCAGCACTTGCTTTATCCCATTACTGATGACAGCCAGGCTGGGTAACAATAATAACATCTTTTAACATATTTTGGTATTATGTGGTCAGGATCTAACCATCAACCTTACACTCTCTCGGAAAGAAGGAATAAACAGTTTATTCTTCAATTTATCTAGCTCATGCTGAGACAAGATTTTACCCATGAATCTTTGAGAGAGTGAGTGAGTTTGGTTTTACGCCGCTTTTAGCAATATTGCAGCAACATCACGGCGAGGGACACCAGAAATGGGCTTCACACATTGTACCCATGTGGGGAATCGAACCCGGGTCTTCGGCATGACTAGCTTTGAGAGAGACATTTGACATTACAACATAACGCATAATGGTAATCCCATACTAACATTTCTTGGCAGCTCCTGTCCTGGCTGTGCCAACTTGGTGGTGTCTTCCTGAAGCTTTCAGCTGGCCTAGAGTTGTGCGCTGTTCCTCTTCCATAAGGATGCCATCTGTGTCCATCACCTCTGATCTCATCAGGCCACGGGCAACACGAGCCTGAAACTCTCTGTACAAAACACGAAGAAAATAATTAGTTCCCAATATCATATGTCTGTAAAGAAATTTGATGAAATCAGCCTACCCCCAAATATACGACTGAACCAATTAAGCAAATATCAATGTGATGATTGGTGAAAAATTGCACAATGTTACCACTAAAAATTGCAGTGGCATCTACCAGGAAGTATATTCAGTGACAAAAGCAAAACATTATGTATATTATATCAGCCTCTGAGCAGGCCTAGATAAATCCCTGAGTTATTTCAGCTTTAGAGTTACAGTACAACCAGAAATTATTGAGAATTTAAAGATTGTAATTTTTTTTTTATTTTCACTCATTACTCACGCATTAAATGTGAATATTAGCAGAACATAACTCCAGATTCAAAGACAGTTGAACAGTTAGTATTTTGTCAAGTCACCATGGGCAGCAATGCAGGCTTCAATGTGGCGGAGCATACTACTGATCAAAGAAGATAGAAAGTCGTGGTCCATGCTGTCCCAATATCAGACCACCTCTTCTTTCATTTCAGCAATATTTGTCAGATTTTTCTTATTGACACTTTCCTTCATAAGTCCCCAAACATTTTCTATTGGATTTAGGTCAGGGCTATGGCTTGGCCAATCAAATAATGTCATATTTTGAGTCCGAAACCAGGCCTGTGAATGCTTTGAACAATGTTTTGGGTCGTTGTCCTGCTGGAAAATCCAAAAAGTTCCGTAGAACACGCGAGCAGATGGAAGTAAATGTCCCTCGAGAATATCTGTGTACCGCTCACTGTTCATATTCCCTTCAAATACACAGAGGGGTGTTGCCCCTAACACAGATATGCCACCCCACACGGGACTGTACTTTGGGCGCTGATACAAAGGTTTTTCAGTTTGTTTCGTCCAGAATTTCAGGGTATTAGGAAACAGCCACACAGAACTTTCATCTGAGAAAATCACATTGTCCCAGTTGAAATTTCTATGCTGTAAGCACCAGTTCAACCTTCGCTCCTTTCGTTCAGGTTTCATGATTGGTGATGGAATTCTTCGACTTTTCTGCCAACCCATTGCATGCAGCTCAGTTCTAATTGTCTCCTTACAGACAGCCAGTTCCTCTATCAATCATATCCAGCCTTAAGTTTTCTTAACTCCTTCGTTTGTTTTTAGAAACAAGAATACCAAGCCGCCTCCTGTCACCGACAGTCAATTTTCTGGGCCTACCTGTGCCTCCCTGGTGCTCAATGCCATATCCATTTGCAATATTTTTCAAAACACAATAAGCAGTGGACAAAGGGATGCCTGTTATACTTGAAATCACTTTAGCTGATCTGATGTATTGTTATAATACTTTAAAATGAACTTCCTCTTCTTTAAATCATCCATACTGAGGATCACTGAAAATGTCGTCTGCTAGCAAGTAAACAAAGGGGGATAACTCTTCACAAACTAATGAAAAAGGATTGACAGAGTTGTCTCTCGTGAATGAAATCAAGCACTTGATAGCTGGTCAAGGTTGTTTATACTAGAAATCCAATTAAACATATTCCTAAAATTCTCAATAATTTCTGGTCATACTATAAGATGAATTTGTGAAACTGGACCTTGATGAGCAAACAGTATGAATGTTGGGGATTTATAACCATTGTTGCTTCAACATATTCAAAAAGGTTTCAATGGCAAGCATTATATGAAAACATTGCTCAAAAAGTGCTGTTTCCCAAAATAGTACAAAACTTTGTTCATTATCAAACAACTTACTGGTGTTTTCTAAGCAAGAATTCAGCAGGTTGAGCATTTCTTCGCAGCCCTTCTTGATAGATGGCATCTGCCTTCTTAGTATTCCCTGCATCCTCTAACACTGTTGCCCAGGCGTCATACAGGAAAGACACCTCACAACCAATTTTCTGGTCAAACATGAAGGCAAACATCTCTGCTGGATCCATGCAGAAGTTTGCCTGGAATTCAGAGTTCAGGTATTAGTCAATGCAAGTGTTGAGTGAATGAGTCTTTGCAATGGTCAGCAATTACAAGATATGTTATCATCAAAGCATCAGCGACTAACAAGCCTAAGCTGCATCAATTCATGAAGGAAGGAAACAACCAATCTGTGCATTAAGGTCCAGACTGGTCTCTAACCATCTTGAAAACCACAACAACTTTCCAAAAATCATGCATGATTACAAGGTAACCATGGTAAAATGATGTAAACTCAACCACTGCTCTAACACCTTTATGTAATGAACAATGCCTGTTTCTGTAAATCATGAACTAATCAACAGTGTTCACGAATGGTGTTTCAAAGTAACAGGACATTGGGTCCTGTAAGTTTCAGATGTCTGTCTGAACCATTGAAAATGCACAGGACCCATGGAATAAAATTAAACACACATTTCAGATTTAATATTTCTTATAACTGACATTGAAATTATTAACAAACATAAGATTTATAAACACCAAACAAGTGTCACATGTCACATAAAACAACTTCAGTCAAAGTCATTGTTAAATATACAGTCAGACACTGGGGCCGGCGGGTTGTAGACTTCTGCCTGACCGTTGGCGAATCTGCCAGATTTGTCAGTGGGTCAGACGCTATTCGTGATCACTGATCAAACTAATTGTTATTAAATGAATCCTAAAATATCTTAATATATACTCATGGAAATGAATAAGGGAACACATGAAAGTACAAGTGTTCCTGTATTCTTTTCCAGAATTTCACCCACAGTGCAATACAAAGTTTTTTAAGAAACCTGGTAAAGACTGACTGACTGAGTTTGGTTTAACGCTGCTTTTAGCAATATTCCAGCAACATCACGGCGGGGGACACCAGAAATGGGCTTCTCACATTGTACCCAAGTGGGGAATTGAACCCGGGTCTTCGGCGTGACGAGCCAACGCTTTGACCACTAGGCTTACCCCACCTGGTAAAGAATAAAGGAACACTGAGTATATATACCTAAAATTCACAAAGAAGAAGTATTCTAACATTCCACAGGCTGCACAGGAAGATAAGGAATTACTTTCTATTTGAGCTGTTTCTTTTCTAATAAACATGATAAAACAAGGAACAGATGACTGCCCAAAACTTACAAATTTAATCCAAGCATCAACATATCTGTGATCATTCTTGTATTTCTCTTCATCTTTAAAAATTGTAACACATCGCTCCAGCAGAGCTCTTAGTTTGCCCGCTTTGCCACCCTTTGGATACGCTTCATCCGTCCAGCGAATGTATCTGGTTGAAAAACATAAGCATAAGATAACAAACCTACAAACATGGCCAGTATGCAACAAATACAATCTGAAATGATAAATTGAAAATGTCAACTGTTTCATCATGTTCATGTTCTTTGAAGCTTTGTTCATAAACCACAGGTTCAAGGTGATGCAGAACAAATATATTTTAAAGTACATAATTTACTGTTAACAAACATTTCTCGACATTCAATGGACTGTATGAATTCCCTTTCAAGAATAACCTCAGTTCTGGGAATCATGATTTTCTAGACATGTAAGATATGTATGTTCTCAGAGAACACTATAAAAATTGAATTCTGTATCTTACCTGTCCCAGGTGTCAAGTGGATCGGAACCTGTATATGTCCGTAACTCACTTTCAAATACTCTGTAAGTAAGAAAGATATATTGCAATTCACTATATTCAGTCTTCAGCATGCGGAAAGACTTCTGCCTGTATCCCCCCTTAAATTTTATTCTAGATAGTCAAATCATATCACATGAATAATATTCGTCATCTGATAAGGATGAGTTTTAACATGTTTCATTAATTATATCTACATATTGATAGATATATCCAGCATCTAGAAATGTCACTCAAGAAATTTCTCCTCGTCGTTAAAATTTAGGGGGGATACGGGCGGAAGTCTTACCAAAACTTGAACATGTGCAATTCTAAAAACAACAATGAAAACTAATCTTAATATCCAGTATACCATGAATACTTTGACACAGATTGAAATATTCCACATCTAATTATGAATATGACCGTACATACTTAAATGTAGACCCAAACAGAAGTATATATATCAGTTTCAAACATCTTTATAACAATCAGCATGATCATGATGATCAGGTTAAGTCTCCACAGGTAAACAATAACGATAATTTAATAGATGCTAATAATAATAATAATAAATGCATATTTATAATGCGCCCCTTCCACACCCTAAGGCATGCTCAAAGCGCTACAGAATATTTACACTGGAGTATTTACAGATGAAGTTATACATAATATACTGAGAAAAGGTGGGTTTTAAGTCTGGACTTAAAAATGTCAATTGTGTCAGAGCTTTTACTTTTAAGGGCACATGGGAGAGAGTTCCAAAGCACAGGCATGGAGTAAGAGAATGATCGGTGTCCGAAGGATTTCAGTTTGTAGGATGGGATGACCAGTCAATTTTGTGTGTTTGAGCGCAAGATGCGTGAGGGGACATACGGATGTAGGAGTTCAGACAAGTAGGAGGGAGCCAAACCATGGAGGCACTTGTATGTCAGACAGAGGATCTTAAAGTCAATTCTGGCCCTAACTGGTAGCCAATGCAGTTCTTTCAACACTGGTGTTATATGGGAAAGTTTAGAAGTCTTGCTGATAATGCGGGCGGAAGTATTTTGGATCTTCTGAAGCTTATCAAGGAGTTTAGAACTGAGGCCTGAAAGGATGCTGTTACAGTAGTCAAGCCTAGATGTAACAAGAGCTCGAACAAGGGCTTGAGTTGCAGCAGTTGTCAGGTATTGCCGAATGTTACCAATGGATCTTAGGTGAAAGTAGCAGGTCCTGCTCAGACGGTTAACATGAGCATCCAGAGTCAAGGAAGAGTCGATGTGGACACCCAAATCCTTAACCACATCAGAGAATCTGACGTCAATAATAATTTTCTTGGACTATCTTTTTCCAGTCCTGGCAGCCAACACTTGATATACATTGATTAAAGACGGGCATGGGTGAAAAAGACCTTTGTTGTCATTCCAACAGCTTGGAAACCGTACCAAAAATATTTTAAAACAAATGCATACAGTTGAAACTTACTGTTTTTGTTGTTTGATGACAACCATTTGATCATCCTGAGGCTGAAGCGCTACTGACAGCGAGGAGACATTGCGCCCTTGTTTCCGAGGTCTTACGTTTTCTTTGCTCAGTTCCCATTCATCAGAATATTCTTCCGTATGATTCATTGTTAAATGACTGAGAAAACAAGGCTACAAATACCAAATATCTTCTTTACAGGCCTTATTTTCGTTATTCCATTACCCCCAATTTAGTTTTGAAATGTCCGCTCCGCGCATGCGTAGATAGTCTTGAGGGAAGTCAAGCTAAACTGGTTCCACCGTTGATAGGCCAGTGCGCCAGTCCTGCTCGTACGCGCCGTTGCGGTTTTTGCGGACACAAACATTGACTGGGTTCTCGTCTATGTAAACGTATGGTATATATTTTAAAGTCTTGGAAAGTCTATCAATGGACATACCTTTTTATTTTGTTTTATAGGACAACTTGATCGTATATGAATATGATCTAGAAGTTATTACTCAAACTAATAATTATTTTCTTATTGACTTTTACCAGTCTAAGCAAAGACCCCTAGGTTGGAGAATGAGCACTGTACCAACCGATTGTGTGAGGTTATTTCATGCCGATACCTCGAATGCATAATCGCTAACTTGGAAATTTTCTTCACATAGTGCTGATCTTCAATCTTCTTAGCATTAAAACGAAACAGAACAAATATCTTGATAATGCCACGTCACACCACAACTTATAATGGCACCAGTTTCATTAATTACCAGTTAATAAATTTGGTATGGTGGTTGATTCGGGCCATCGCTGAAAATTCCAGGCGACATCCAGCGATGGCCCGAATCAGCCACCATAGTTTGGTGATGCAATGTCTTTACATTGTTATAAATTCAACCTCCTTTTTGGAAAGATTTGGGTTGCACTGTGGGAAGGGGGTACACGAAAAATGTTTCAATCCCTGTATTTAACTGTCAACACATATGAATCTTAATGGCATGTCTCTTTGAATCAATGTACATTAAATATATACCAAAGTTTAAGGCTGTAGGTCATACATTGCATAAACAAGTAAATATGTACCAACAGCCTGCAGAGCAAATGTAGCATGTGCATGGAGAAGTGACAGCGTATGTTGTGTCCTTAAAGCTAGAAAGGTAGAATGTAGTTTTTGTTGTTGAGTTAACTGCTTTGGACGTCGCCTTCACCTGTTGGTATTTCGGCAGACTGTAGAATGTAGAATAATAATTAATATTTATGTATGGGCGGAGATTATATGACCACGTCGGGTTTAGGACAATTCCCACTAGGACAATTGTCACCCGGACAATTCCCACCTAGGACAATTCCCACCTAGTGCAATTCCCACACGGACAATTCCCACCCCCAAAATAAAATTACATGAAGAACATAGTTTAGTTTAAACATTTATTCATTATGACATAAATACCATATAATATAAAACTTCATCAAAGTCAAATTTCTTTAATGTCACAATTTCAATATTGTATCATCTTCTATATTACACCAAAGTAAATATTTCCATACTTCAAAGCCTGGGTGGGAATTGTCCTCATCATTATAGTGAAAATAACTGGGTGGGAATTGTCCTAGGTGGGAATTGTCCAAGGTGGGAATTGTCCTAGGTGCGGGTGGCATTTGTCCGGGTGGCAATTGTCCTGCTCCCGACCACGTCACACGTGTTTCAATCTCCGCCCACTCATGAATATTCATGACTATTCTACACTTAAGACCATTCTAAAGTACTGTCGGAAATGCTAGAAAAATGCTTTTTAGCCTTAATATCTTTAGAAAGGTGATAAATGTATTATGTTGTCAATATATCAACTCACCTATAGTGTACCTAATTTTTATTGCAATTGATTTAACATTCCCATGCATTTAAAGGGCAGTTTACAGGAGAGAATTTGGTACCAAAACAACAACTTAAGATTTTTTCAGAGTTCAACAACAGATATCTGAAATAGTCTTTACATTTATGTTAATAATACAGGTGGTGTAAAAATATAAATTAACGTTTTTCTTAAACAAATAAATGTTGAATGTTTGTGTTTCTTAGCTTAATTATCGTTTCTTTATTGAAGAAATATTAATATAAATGTTAAGTCTTGATAAATATGTTTCCCGTCATGCATGCACATCTTTATCACAGCGTCCACTATGGCCAACTATTTGCAGACGATTGTTGCAAAGGTTTATAAGTTTTTTGTGCTTGAAAAAGACAGAGGTAAACCTTTCATTAGTATAGAAATGGTTTAATATAGAACTTGTAGAGCTGTTGGTATGTCTTACCAACAAGTTTACAATATTGTAAACAAATCAGACAAGACAGGGACCGTCTCAAAAGCAAAACCGAGACGTAAAACCATCCTTGACAACTTTGACAAGGGAGTACGTAGTCTACAAACTTTAGGAGAAGAATAATATATATATTCTAAAGAAGCTACACCAGTGACTTCGTTAAATCTTTGGCCAGTGTTCACAACTAGATTAAACTGACCGAATTACATCCATATCTTTGCAATGAAATATACTGTTGACATGCAAAACATTTATTAAAACGTTGCACATTTCTACAATCAATCGATAAGATAACACAAGTGACAGGATTCTTTCCAATGTACAGTAGTTCGTATGTTTATTTCAGAATAAACACACATACACAAATGATCCCTTACATAACCAATACGTATACTATACGTACACATATTCAACATTTTGAAGAAAACATCTATTGAGATGACCCCTCGCCCGAGCGCGTGCTAAGGTGTCAATTTCACCTCTCGATACCGTGCATGCTGATGACGTAACACAGGCAGTTAATGTTTGTATCAAATAACGTCCCACTACCCCTTAGTTTTCTAAGTTTTTGGTATTTTAATCAGTAAAAACGCATTTTAGGGCATGTCTCAAAATTTATTCCCTTGGTCTACATTAGGTATATGTTTCTTAACATGATATTTGTTATTTAAGTAACTGTAATACCTCTGAATTTTAAATATAAGTCAAAAAGCATTTTTCTAGCATTTCCGACAGTACTTTTAGCTTTAAGTCACAACACACGTACATTCTTCTTATCTGGTATTGTGTATATGTAAACACTATCAAGTCAGGTAGACAATTATAATTAATATTGGAGTTTTTATGTAGATACCATATTTCTATTGATCTCTGCGTGAATGATATGTATGGCATCAAATGTCGTAAAAGATATGTGCTGGATGAAAAAGCGTAAAAGATATGTGTGACGTGTAAAAACGTAAAAGATACGCGCGTCATGAAATAGCTCAAACGATGTGTGTTATGAAATAGCGTAAGAGATTATTATAATATTACTAAATGTGCAGCTGAAATGTCAAATAGAGTCGATATGCTTTACAAATTCTGGTCTTCTTATCATTCTGTGTTCATGTTAATGTACCGCCTCCGTGGTGTAGTGGTTAGAGCGTCCGCCCGGAGAGCGGAAGGTCGCAGGTTCGATCCCCGACTACGTTATACCAAAAGACGTTAAAATATGGTACTTGTTGGTCCCTGTCTGGCGCTCGGCATTAATGGGTACATCAAGGACTGGTCGGCTCGGAGTCAGTATAATGTGTCTGAGTGGGTATTCATGCTTCACTGCGGCATGGTATCTCAGTGGGCTAGCACTATAAAACCAGCTTCAGTCTGGGCTAGTACAAGCAGCCGCACATACACATACGCATGCACGTCGTCATATGGGCGAAATATTCTCAAGCACGACGTTAAACCCAATTTCACCTCACCTCACCTCACCTGGGCTAGTACAAGCAGCCGCACATACACATACACACGCATGCACGTCGTCATATGAGCGCAATATTCTCAAGCACGACGTTAAACCCAATTTCACCTCACCTCACCTGGGCTAGTACAAGCAGCCGCACATACACATACACACGCATGCACGTCGTCATATGAGCGCAATATTCTCAAGCACGACGTTAAACCCAATTTCACCTCACCTCACCTCACCTGGGCTAGTACAAGCAGCCGCACATACACATACACACGCATGCACGTCGTCATATGAGCGAAATATTCTTAAGCACGACGTTAAACCCAATTTCACCTCACCTCACCTCACCTCACCGCATCGCACCTCACCTCACCACACCTCACCTCACCTCACGTAAATGTATTGTGCGATTGATAACTGTATTTACTTTGAAATAAAAGTTTTAATATGAAAACAATAATACATAACTACGCCAGTAATCACTTTAGACCAATAGCAAATAGGCAGAACCCCTTTCATAATGTACTCTTTAAAAAGTAGGGGAACCTGAACTTTCAATTTGTATAATGAGTATAAGCGTTAACAAACTTTTCAAGGACAGACACGCACCAACATGTCTCTTTATCGCCATCCCTAAACACAACGCATGGAATGCACGTGCACAACGCAGTAGCACCATACACGCGCATAGGGTGTCAGTCTTGATGTTGACGGTTTTCAAGAGTGAGTGAGTTTAGTTTTACGCCGATTTTAGAAATATTCCAGCAATATCACATCGGGGGACACCAGAAATGTTCTTCGAACATTGTACCCATGTGGGGTTTTCAAGAAGGTCGATAAATAACTGTAGACCATTAATTTTGACAATCATCTTGCATCACACAGTTGTTAGTGTTTGTTTCTAGCCGATTTTTGTTGTTTGAAAATGAAAAACACATGCAAATCTCACGTCATACACCAATCATCTTTCAAGAGCGATTACTGTACAAACAACTATGGTCATAAGGAAGTGCAAGTAGTAAAACACTCTCAAAACATTCATTATTATCATAACAACATTGATTGACTCAGATATATCTCCCAATTTTTTCAATCGTGAATTCAAAATGAAGTTCCCCTACTTTTTTAAGAGTATATATCAAAATATAGATGAAGCTGGGAAGGCGCTGAAGGTTGCCTTGTATTATGTCCGATTATGTCTCACACGATTAGATCTAGAAAATGACATTGAACCAATTCTAAAAGCGGCAAGTGTCCTTGGTAACGTTACCGTTGCCTTGGTTAGGCTGACCCCAATGTCTCTTTCATCGCATTAATGATATAAAACGTAGAATTGATTTTTGGATTTCTTGGAATTTTGGTAGGAGAGAAATGCTCTTGACGATC